TTTTAAAACAAAGCCCTTAATGACAATCAACTTCAATCCTAATCTTCAATTCTCAATATAAGATATTTAATGTCATTTTATCATTGTATTAATAATAATAATAATATTGTTATTATTATTATTATTATTATTATTATTATCATTGTTATTATTATTATTATTATTATTATCATTGTTATTATTATTATTATTATTATTATTATTATTATTATTAATAATAATAATAATAATAATTGTAGTCTTATTCATGTTTCTAAAGTAAAACTAAAATCTGGACAAATTACTACTATTAAAAAAAAGAAAAAAGCTGTTCAGTTTTTATTTCGTGTTGTGTTTTCTCTGATATTTTCAGCTCACCCCTCCGTTCTTTACCAGCATAAAAAAATCACTTGTCATCATCTCACAAACAAAACAGTCTTGACGAAAAACAGTACCCAAGAAAACCTCCATTCCTAGACATTGAAGAAAATTTCATAATTAGCGGAGTCCCTAATGAGGTGTATGTGATTGACAGGCCCAGGTTGGCCTTTCCCCTCAGCAGCATCAAATATGACAGCAGTGATGATGACGAGCGCTGAGTGGCGTCCAGTGCAGATCCTCCTCTCTCCAGTGTGACACCCTTGACAGATGAGGCCGCTTTCTCCACATTCAAGCCTCGCAAAACACACCACCGCTTCCTGTTTCTTATGAATAATGTGTCTACAAATCTTTATTGTTTGTCGCAGATTTACATAGGACTACATGGGCACATTTTCCGTGCGATTACCAATGTGACTAATGCTTGATGAGACGCGGGCAGTGTCACGCTGGCCTTGCTAGTGTGCCTTTCTGTGTCAGCGATCAGGTTGTTCTTGTAAAACCTGCGTAATGTGGTTGTAGGGGAGCTCTGGATATTTGGAATAATGCGTGCATGAGTGTTTGTGTTGGATGCAGGCACTGTAAAAAAATCTTTAAAATTTTGAAATTAAAAAAAATTTTATTGTTTGAATTTATGTTCAGATGCAAAAACCTCCTAGTGCCACCCAAAATTTTTTTGTAAATGAGCATGTTTCTCTGGTTCCTATGTGTAGGTCCACTAATTTTACTTTTACAACATATAATATGTTATATGTATTGCCTTTAAGGTGAAATAACTGAACATAAAATTGGGCAGCTGAGAAAAATGCTGATTTTAGAAGAAATGTTCTGATAGTACTTGAAATTTTTTGCATCTGAACTCCATATATTTAGAATACAGTATTTTTAAAAGGAAATGATACTTTTACTACATGTAATGTAGAATAGAAGAAGAAATGACAATTGGTCAGAGTAACAAATTTGTCAAATACGGTTATTTGACCAAAAATTTATATTATTTTGTCAAAAAATCTATATAAATGTCTGAAAACATGGAATTTTATTTGTTTATGCAAAAACCACAAAAATGGGGAAAAAACTCTCTAAATTGAGTTTTATTTTACATTTGGAGAAATTTAATTAATATTTTACAGTATAACAATTTTGTTTTATTTCAGCGCATAACTTAATGTTGCCATGTACGTATAGATGTTACAAAAGTAATCTAAAACTATCAACTAAATAAGCATATATTTAAAAACAAAATAGATTTAATAATGTATTAAACAGATATATTTATTAAACAATATTTTAGTCACTAAACAATACAATTAAACTCTGGCAAAATATTGGGAAAAAAGTACAACCTACAAAATTTCAACACAAATTTTCATTTTGTTTTTTGTTTCCTTGATGTTTTTTTAATATCAATATATATATATATATATATATATATATATATATATATATATATATATATATATATATATATATATATATATATATATATATATATAAATGTGTCTGTACTAGTTTTTCATGTTATTGTAAGTAATTTTGTTAGAAGCTCCAGATTTGGCTTCAGTACTGACTAATCTAATGTATATGTACAAATATAATATTGTATAGCTTCCTAAAAATATATTAATTTGAAAGATTGATTTGTGAGGGTTGTACTTATATATGCTGAGCACTGTATATATATATATATTTTTACTACGAATCCCAAAAGGGCCTAAAAAAGTACCCAGAGTATCCTTATATTGCTCAAAAATGAATGAATATAAATATTTTATAACATTGAAACATCCATGTTATAAAGCAGCTTTTAAACAATATGTTAAAACAAAAGCACACATAACATATGAATGTTAAAAATCTATGAGCTGGAATTGAAAGTTTACTTTCTAAGCAGTAATTTCGAGTTGTCCTGCTCTTGTTTGTCTCTCAGTCTGCAGTAGTTCTGAGCCCGGGCCCCTCGCAGTGTTTGAGGAGCCGAGAGGATGACAGGTGCTTTTTGTAATGCCTTGCTGATGAGAGCCAATCAGCTGATTCCATTCGGCTGCTTTTTTTTCCCTGTCTCCCCTGTTGTCATCTGGCATGCTAAAGTAAAGATGAGCCTGATTGACAGATGCATCCGGGTTCACAGTTTATTGGTTCCAGCAAAAGAAGCAGATATGCCAATTTAGACAGGGGAGTGACAAAAAAGTTTCCATCTAAATGGAATAATTTTACCACTGGGAATTCTCAGCTGGGGAAGAACAGAGGCAGGCCTTTTTTCCTGATTTTAACAAGGGCTGAATGACAAACATATACGACAGTAAGAGGCTGACAGAACAGCAGCTCTTGATGCTTCACAGGGGAGCTATGAAATAAACAATAGGCAGAGAAATTGAATTACAGCAGGGTAGGATTGTGTGCGGGGCAAAAGAAGAGCTGCTGCTGCTCCTGCTTCATTAAATAGTCCACACACTCACTCTTCTTACTCCACTACGCTTTTACTTGCTTACCCTTTCACTCTCCATAAAACTCACTTTCTGTTCATTCTTGTCTAAATTTCGCCTGTTGTTGGCTTCTTACTCTCTCTCCTTCTGTGTGTCCAGAAAATGTCAACTTTATTGTTATTGAACAGTTTTTTTTTGTTTTGTTTTTTTAGAACAAATAAACATACAATAATAAATTTTTAAAATAACAACCATAATAATAGTAATATTTCATGTTGGGTAATGATATGTACTGTATATGTGTGTACATACAACAATTATAGTGTTATGTGATATATTATTTTATTTACATCAACATATAAGCTTGTATTGATTTTGTGTGATGTATGATATGATTATGTTGATATAAATAAAAAGTTAATGTTGGTTTGTTATGCCTAAAAAGTCAAAAATATTAGCCCTCCTGTTACATTTGAATTCTTTTTCAGATATGTTTCAAGTGCTGTTTAATGGAGAGATTTTTTTTCAACACAACTGTATTTTTATAACTAATTTCTCATCTAATTTCTTTTGGATTTGTCAAAATGACAGAACGTAATATTTTACGAAATAAATTTTACGAGTTAACTAGGTTAGTTAGGTTAACTAGGCAAATTATTTACCACCAGACACCGGTGGTTTGTTTCGTAGCCAATCTAAAAAAATAAGCCAGAAGGAAAGATATATATACTATGGAAATACTATGAAAATTTCCTTGGTTTGTTAAACATTACTTGGGAGATATATTAAAAAACAATTAACAATGCTGATAGTTTGTTTAAAATTTGATTGTTACATACATATTTCATACAATTATGCAACATTAAAAAAGCGATTGATTGCTTCCCAAGTAAAAGTTTATGGTATGCATGTGTACTGTGTACATTTATTATGTATTTAAATACAAACATACAAAAATACAGTACATAAATATACTTTGCTCATATATTTAAATAGAATTTGTATACAATATACTATAAATAAACAAGTAGACATTTTCTATCATCTATCTATCTATCTATCTATCTATCTATCTATCTATCTATCTATCTATCTATCTATCTATCTATCTATCTATCTATCTATCTATCTATCTATCTATCTGTCTGGCTGTCTGGCTGTCTGGCTGTCTGTCTGTATGTCTGTATGTCTGTCCATCCATCTGTCCATCCATCTATTTTTTTTATATTTGCCAAATGATACTTAACAGAGAAAGGAATTTTTCACAGTATGTCTGATAATATTTTTTCTTCTGGAGAAAGTTAATGTTTTTTTCGGCTAGAAAAAAGCAGTTTTAAATTTTTTGAAAACCATTTTAAGGTAAAAATTATTAGTCCCCTTTGAGTTATTTTATCTCTGCCATTATGACAGTACATAATATTTGACTACATATTTTTCAAGACACTTCTTTACAGCTTAAAGTGACATTTAAAGGCTTAAAAAAAACATATATATATATAAATATATGTGTGTGTGTATAATATATATATATATATATATATATATATTACATTATATTATTATTTTTTTATTTACAAATTTTTTAAGCCTTTAAATGTCACTTTAAGCTGTATAGATGTGTCTTGAAAAATATGTAGTCAAATATTATGTACTGTCATCATGGCAAAGATAAAATAAATCAGTTATTAGAAATAAGTTGTTTACTATTATGTTTAGAAATGTGTTGAAAAAAATCTTTTGTCAGTTAAACAGAAATTAGGGAGAAAAAAAACAGAAGATAGATAGATAGATAGATAGATAGATAGATAGATAGATAGATAGATAGATAGATAGATAGATAGATAGATAGATAGATAGATAGATAGATAGATAGATAGATGGATGGATGGATGGATGGATGGATGGATGGATGGATGGATGGATGGATGGATGGATGGATGGATGGATGGATGTATGCACAGTAGACATTATGTAAATACAAATTATGTGATATGATTAATCACTATTATTGTGATTTTGAATTTGTATAATTTTGTTATTTAATTTTTTAAATATTCATAGAAATTTGAATAAAATTTTTTATGTTTAATATTGATTGTAATGTAAAACTATTCTTAATTCAAAACACATGCATGAATGTACTGTTGTGGTTGTAATTTGACTTATGCTCAATTGAGTTTTTTAAAAAAAGTGTTAAAAATCACCACTATGGTCACAGGCTGACATAGAAAAAATTTATTTCTGATATGCACAAAGAGAGAGAGAACTGGACAGAAGTGGGATAGTGTTGGCTGAGGCCATGTTGCTTTTTGTTACATTTGTTCATCATGGGTTAGTTTTATGATCTTAACAGATACTGTATATTATTGTTATACATATTTTGCAATATTTTAATGAAAGAAGCCTCTGCTTTAACCTCTGCTGCTGTTGACTTGTTTAGGGAGAAAACTGTCTAGTAAATGTTTCGATAGGCATATCTGGATTGCGGTGAGTGCAGGGTTAGAATCTTCCTTCCAAAAGTTTAACTTGGATATAGAAATAAAATTAAAAGTATCCAAATAATAAATATATATGTATATATTTTTGTTTTGTGTGAGTTAGAACTAGTGGTTGTACTGTGTGTACAGTAAATTTAAGTATAGTTATATTACCTGTTGTCATTTTTTTTTCCTTTGCATGCCATACATTTTGTGTCATCTGCAGTAACTTTAACTTAACATTTGAAAAAAAAAAATCTTAACTGTTGTGTTCAACTCTTTAGGGCCAAAGTACAAAAACAATCCACAAACCCAGGCATGTGAAATGTATTTGTTTGCGTCTACAGGATTATCCTCTGTACAGGATTTAGGCATGATTTAAAATGAAGGGTAAAACTGAACGCAGTAATAAAGGAGAATACAGAATACCATTTTACTTGATTTGCATAGAGACTTAAACAGTATGAACAAGTAAAAGTGAACCAAAACAAAACATACAAACAGCCGCACATGTGGTGACAGCATCTGAAACCCACCGAACCACGGCGGTTCCAAACTTTTAGTTGTGCGTCTCTGCAAAAGCACAACACATTAAAGACACAAATGTAATGTCGATCTTTTTTTTTCTTCTTCTTTCAATTCTCATATCTACAAATGGAATCAGTAAATTAGTACGATACTGCAATGGTGAAATGTAGGTGATCTTATATACATCGAAGAATTGTTTTCACATTATACACAAAATCATTCTACAAAGCAGCAGTTTGTTGCAAATGACATACCTTTGAGTAACAGAATTCACCTTTTTTAATGTGTGTACATCGCTGTGTCTTGGGAGGGAGGGGGAGATGGATTGTTTTCCTTTTTCTTCAACATTACCACATACAATCAGTATTGACTACTATTAAAACATAATACTGTTTTATTGACAGATACAGCAAATAAAATATTAAATATCAAACTAAGTCTTTGGCAAACGTGGTATAAAGTACATTCACTTTACATTTCCAGGAGCGTATGTATGAACCGTTTCCATTACTATCCTCGCGTTTTGTTCCAGCACACAGAAGGGTTACATGCATGTCTACCTCTCAGGACCAAAGCCAAACCATAAAAAATTAAATAATAATAAAAAAAGCTGTAAGGCATTTGTTGAACTTGTAAAACTGACTGCTAATGATTACTTTGGTACTGAGCCAGTCGTTCGGTCTCAGTTACAAAAACGCTTTACTGAATGACAGATAAAGGCTAGTTCCTAACATACAGCAAGTGTATTTTTTGTTCAACGTTGCTTTCTCGATTCCTTTTTGCTTAAATATAACATCTGACAAAAGTCGTAATTCAGTTGTATTTATAAATCCAGTAATGCAAAATAGTGCAAACAAGAAAAGAGCGGCACTGATAATGAGTATCCCGAAAATGTATGACACACAAATGCACACACGAACACAAACCATCAGCGAAACCAAAACAATAATTTAATATACGGTTTACTTTTCAGGTCACATACATCAACTGACCTGTTTTAATCTTCTTCTTTTTTTTTGTTCTTCCCCCGTTTTTGATTGTGTATCACAGAAAATGTTGGTAGCTTCATACCACGAGTCAGAGAGATGGCTTCTAAAACAGTTACACTTGTCTGTTTGACAGAAAATGGAGCAATACTGCAGTTTTCTGACACGTCCGTGAGAGGTAAGACACTAGTGAAATGATGTAAAGGCCTCAGGCAACCTTGCGTGTGTGTTGTGTGTGTGTGTGTGTGTGTGTGTTAGCGATGCTAAATACAGTATGTAAAGGAATGTATTTGATTGATTGAGAGAAAATGGGGAAAAAAAAGACGAGAAAAAAAAAAAAAAACAACAGCACATCAATTGTTACTTCGTAGTTCTTCACATGGTTCGTCTTGTTTTATATCTCGTATAATATATATATTTTCGTAGAATCTTTCAAAGTTTTTCAGGAAATAGTTCAGTGATGGTGCCAAAGGGGGGGAATGTAGTGGATGTCCGCTGTTGCTTGACCCTCCGAATTGGATTTCGGCTCCATGAAAGTGAAGATGGCGTATCCATCTTCAATCCCTCTGACCATTCAGACGGGTACGATATGGAGGCCGCGGCCGTGGTCCTGCAGTTTGACTGGGCTGCGATGGTAACTAGTGGCGGTCATAGGCAGTGGCAGCAGTGGGAGGCCCGGAGCCCCGGGATGCGGCACTATAATAATAAGGGGAACCTGGAAGTTAACAGAAGAGCGGAGCGTTTGAAAAAACCACAGCAAGAGCAACACTTACGCCCACTCTTAAATCAAACTATTCTATTACGTACAGAATCGGCGAGAAAAAAAAGGGCTTATGCGCGTCTTAATTTGGAGATGCAGTGTGTTATGACCTCGCTAATCAAAAAGAGAAATAAAAACTGTAGCTAGTTTGGTAAAGCTGTATGCAAATAATGTCATTGTAAAATGTGATTATATTAATCCCACTTTAAAGCGACTAATCCCATAAGGGATAAGCAAAAAGGGTTAATACTCACTTAATAACGCGGGGTTGCTGAACCGCCAAGCTTCATTGTAAGTTGTGTACTGCGGGTGAGAGTAGGGATTTCCTGAAAAGTCGCTTCCTAAAATCAAACACAAGTGACAGGTTAGCAATAAAGCAAACTTATCATTTGCTTGAATTCATGTAATTTCAGGTTGTGCAGCTGTCAACATTTCTGGCAAACTTTGAGAACTTTAGGAATTATAGAAAAATCAAGGCTATGGTGAGTTTCTTTAGTTGAAAGTGAACTGGGACCATTTTATTGTAAAAGCCTTTCATAATTTCATAAAAGGACTTCAGTATATTCTTTTGTTAGAAGCCTGCGTATTATTTGAGCTATAAAACAGTTCATAACAACCTTTAAACACCTTAGAAATGTTAACTTTTTAAAAATGTTTAAAATATTGCACCTCTTTACAGCATTACATTAGGAGATGTTGTTGTTTTTTTTTTTTTTACATTTAAATTAATAATGGTTCACCAAAAATTAAAACAAAAGATTTTATAATTTACTCACCCTCCACTAATTCCAAACATTCTGCTGAACTCAAAAGAAGATATGGTAGCATATAAAAGAAAATGGTAGCCATTGCCTTCCATAGTATTCAATTTCCTACTATGGCTGTCAGTGGCTATGGCTTTTCAACATTATTCAAAATATTTTCATTTGACTTGCGAAGCTCATACCGCTTTAAAATCAAGTAAATATTTAGCAAATGTTAATTTTTGGGTGAACTATTCTTTTAAAAATTGTAATGTTCACATAATTTCCTCCTTTTATAGGGGTCCACTGGGGGGAAACAGTGTAATATTTACTGTAAAACAATTTTTACTGATAGATTTCTCATAATTGAAAAGAAAATGGCACACAGCACAATTCAGAAGTAGAAAGAATAAAAATATCCTGTTTTTTTAGATGCATCCATATGTGCCAAAGAAAAGTGGTGAGGTCAAATGATTCTTTTAATAATTAAGATTAATTCATTTGTTATGAATTAAAGTGATTCTGTACTTAAAATAATATAGCATCACATTAGTCCAGCGCATCAGAACGAAAGGATCTGGCATTGTTTCACGGCCCAAGCTAGCAGATGGCTCGCCCTGTCCTCTTTCCTACGCCCTGGTGCTCGGCCATTTTGGCTGAATTTGTTACATTAATCCCGAGCTGGGTTTTGAACTTTCTTTTCTTTGATTCTGCTGTTGGGCTCTTAAGATTCTCTATTCTTCGGCCACACCAAAGCCCTGGCTTCAAAAAAAAGAAAGAAAAAAAAAAGTCCCCAATGGATTCAGTCTCGCGCGCACACACTCGCCACCTTTTTTTATATGGCCGAATTCGACTTTCAGGAAGCGGCCCTGTCCATGTCAGTGAGCAATGCTGTTGGTCCCCCACGTTTCTTTCTTTTATGAGACAATAAAGGCCGGGTTTTATATGAAGCTGGTGAGGAATGGCTTTTGCTTTAACAGTGTTTGGGGTCTGTCACTAAATCTTAGTCGTTCGAGGGCCAGATGAATGGAAGTGCACACAAAACCCACGGCTCTAGGATTTAAGAGGATTTCTCAGCCTGTGTGACCAATGAAAATGAATCTTTGATGAAAACATATTTGATGTACCTGTAAAGATATGTTTGCCCAACAAATGAATCCTGTCACTGAATTAAATTTGCCCCTGCGAACTATTCATGTTTGTGGCCCGTGGAAGCCCAAGACAGACTTGAATCTATCTGAGGCGCTCAACGGTGACCGAGAGAAGAATCCTTCTCTGTGTCTGATGTAAAATATTTGTTTTCCAATTTTCGCACACCGCGTGTTTGTGCTCGGGTCTGCTGATGTTATCCCCTTGCTCCTGATACAATTGCATTTACACTTCTGCGACTGTCCGTTTGCATGCGAATATTTGTGTGTGTGTGTTTGTGCTGTTTGGGGAGAGGGCATCGGTCTTACTGCCAGACTGCATCCTGTCCTGGCAGTGAAACTCAAGTCGGGTCCCTCTGAGAGATAGTGATTTAAATATTTACAGGCCTTCCCGCCCGCTGTTTTGTGACCCTTAACTGTTTGCTGTGAACCTGAACTGCAGGTTAAGTAGAGGGGAAAAGAGATACGCTCTGAAGCGCTGGAGCAGCGGATGGAGAAGCCTGTGTTTATCGATGGCGGTCGGGGAGAACGAGGGAGGGCCGTAATGAGCGCTGGAACCCGAGTGGAACTGAGAGGAACTGTCCTATATCCCGCACTTATGTCCCTGATCACTTATTGAGAGGCGCTAATTTTCTCCTCAGCAGCCGATAAGCTTGGCTTATTGACGAATCCGGATTGAATTTCACACTGCCCGCCGTTGTCTTCGGTTAGACGGCAGCCGTCCTGCAATTACAGCTCCTCATTAATCTTATCCTCATTAATATTATGCTCCTCATTAATATTAGCCCATTTAATCAACATTAGCATCCCCAGAAATGTCACGGGCAATATGTTCGCAGCATTGGTGTCACTTCTCATTCTTGGAAGTAGACACCAACAGTTTTTAATTCTCTTTAAAACTCCGTTGTTTATCAGTGTACGTGCAAATTCGGGTCTGCTCTGCATGACCTCAGGTTTCTTGAAGATGATCAATTGCAGAGGACTGTTCGCTGAAAAAGTTACGAGCTCTCTTAAAATTAACATCCTCGTAAAAGTAGTAATTACACTTACCAGGGACCATTCCAGCAAGTGTAGAGGTGGGGTAGCTGCCCTGCCCAGTAGGGGGAACGTGAGGTGGATATCCTGGTAGGGTCGTGCTCGCCATCTCTCGACCTGTGAAGTAAAGTGAGCAAATTTGTAATGACAGCTCCACAGCACATTTAGAAAATGAAAAAATAAATTAATTTTTGGGGTTGAATGAGCTTTGTAAGAATCAAAATAATAATAATAAAACTCCAAATAACAAATGATAGCAGCTGCACATATTCTGTTGTATACAGTAATTTACCTGTACATATACTTGTCAGATTTTATATTTGCATTCTCTACTTACTTCTATTTTTAAAATGTATTTATAATCTGTTTTTTTTTTTTTTTGTCCTGTTTAGACCTGTTACACTGTAGAAGCTCTGTCACGAAAACAAACTCCTCGTATGTGTGAACATATCTGGCAACGAAGCTCTTTCTGATTCTGATTCTAAAGTTAAATTGTAGTAAAACTGAAGCAAAAATATAGGCAGTATTTTAAAATAATAAAAACCACATTAAATCTAACATTTATACACAGTTACTGCTTGATATGTTGAAAAATACACATATTAAAATGTATTATTGAAGAATAATGTACAAAAAAAAAAAATCTAAAAACACCATGTCTATCTAAAAAAAAGTTATGCAATCTCTGAAATATCCGAAGACACTGATTATTAACTGTCAGTCAAAAAAAAACAGCTCAGCTGTATCTTTTTTGGTTATGTGCTGTTAAAAATAGGTTCAAAATCCTTACGTTGTCTTAGAAGAACCATTTTTGTTTCCCCAAAGAATACAACCATTTATCATCACGTGAAGGACAATCTATAAAAAGCTATCACTTTAAAAAATGTGAAATGGAAAGTTTCTTTAGATGTTAGTTTCTTAATAGAACCATCAATGCCAATAAAGAAGCTTAAACTAGAAAACCCACATGCAAAACACACACATAAGGTAAGAATCTCCTCACAACTTGAAGAACTGATGACTCCACAGAAGCTAAGAACACCTTGCTGTTTTTACCCCCCCTCTATTCTAGGTCACTCGGCCTTTTAACTGCCTCTGTTACACAGAGTGGCGCTGCTGGCCTGTTTTGACTGGAGTGTTTTAAAGTGCTCGACAGAGAGAAGCACAGAATGCCCTCGGCCTGCTGGTGGCATCACTGCTGCTGAAAAGCCTAGAGCATCACGAGAGTGCAGAGCTCACACTGCCTCCATATTCAGCTCTGTAATTGGAGGTGACGGCTAGCAGTGCTGCTGGATGTGCTGGCTCAGACTTTACAGCACGTAGGCCTTAGTCAGTCCCGAAAGGGCCCTCGTGAGGTCCCGCATCATTGTTTGAAAGAGGACCAGCAAGGGTTGGGGGGCACTGCACTCCCCCAGTTCAGCTACTAACAAGAAGAGTGGCACACTAGGATGGTATGCTACATGCAGGACTATGCTTTAGTGTGATTCAATGCTTTTGGTGTAATTAAAATCAACTAAAGATAAATTAAAAAACAAGATTTGCACTTACAGAGTGTTTTACACACAGATTCTCATTCACACACGAATACAACAGTATTTAGAGTATATCTCAGGACAATACAGGACAGCAGTTGCTCCAAAAGTGCCATAGAAAGTGTCTTATTCTATTTTTACGTACATTTGAGGGATTTTTATTTTTAAAGACTGTAAAATAGTCAAATAAAAGTTAAATAGTTTTTATAATTTAACATATTTAAAATGTTTATTTTTGTAATGTCAAAGCATATCATTACTTCCGTTAATATGATCATTCAAAATACATTCTACTGATCTGATTTGATCCTGGAGAAACATTTTTTAAACTGTTTCATAAAAAAATAATGATACTGACCTCAAATGTTTGAATGGTACATTAAATTGATTTTTTTTTTCTTTAGGGCACCAGATGACCCCAAACTGCCATCGATGCACCCTCAAAAATAGAGCATTATGCCTCTAGCTGTTTCCCCTGTTACCAGCAAAAGGCATGTTTTCTCTACTTCATCTCTCTTTTTTAATTATTTAATTTATTTATTTAGTAGGTCTGTACCTGCTATAATATGCTGGCTTGTATACTGGCAGTAGCTGGGCGCATGATGGGCATAGGCACCGTAGCAGGGGGTGGAGGCGTCTACTGACACGCTGGGCTGGAGGGGCAACAGTTCTGCAAGGCCCGACACTGCCAGTGAGGAAGGGGTGAAAGGAGCCAGGGAAGCCTCATGCGGCTCCTGCTTAACGCACATGGAGGATGAATGTGACTCTGCCAGGTGGAGAAAAACAACAAAAAAAGCCACACACACACAGTCAAACAATGCACAATCACTCGCACTCAGCAAAAGAAAAAAAAAAAGAATCATGACAGATGGAAGTACTGAATGGAAGCAGTAAAAGAAAAGGGGAAATGAAGTTTGGCTGACAGTGTTTCGTGTTGTTGTGATGCTACATTGCGTTTGGGAGGAAAAGAAGGATTTATGTGAAGTTACGAGCGGCGCTGTGCTGTTCTGACTCAGTTCCTCGAGTGTGTTCAGGAGTTTTAACAGTGCCTCCAGAGGCTCGCGCTCACAAAACAACATTTCTACACGCACGAGGGGATTCGGTCATGGCAGGCCAGGAATTGCTCCTGTGCGCGGGTTTTATGTGCGTAGACTGATGCACAAATAATACACTAAAGATTAGTTACTGTAGTGGTAATAGTGAATTTTGCATAATAATATACAACTCAAGCAAACCTATTCCGTACTCTAACTACATATATACCGAGGCGGGCTTAGTTATTTGGGTTCAATAAGCAATTGCTGGTATTGGACCCAAGCACTGAAACTCAAAGCTTTCTCTTTCTCTAGAGATTTTTTTTTTCTTTATAAATTAGTTTTTTATTTGTTTGTTTTTGTTAACAAACTGCATGCTAAAATATTTATTTTAAGTGGAAACTTTATCTTACTAATGTAAAATTAAATACAATAAATTAATAATAATAATAATAATAATAAAACAATTTCACAAACCATCTATATGAACTTAAAAAGCCATTTTAGATTAGATTTGTGGATTTTAATATTTGCATGTGCAGTATAGAAGGAACATCCCACTATTCATGAGGGCCCCTGGTTTTGAAAAGAAGTAATAACATTAAAATATTAATGGGTATATGATAGAAAATTGTTAAAATAGCCATTTGATTAATATAGGCTTTTTGACATTAGTCAGGGGCCCTAAGCCGCTGCTTACCTTGCTTATTGGTTAAGTCTGCCCTTGACTATATAGTAAGTGGAGATTAATTAATACTACACTGTCCTTTTTTTATTATTACACAACAGGGCCACCATAAAATAAAGTTATTTTATCCTAAAACTGTATTTTGCTAAATTTATTCATTTTTTACATTCTTTTTATAATATTTTTTCAGTACAAATTATAACTTTCACATAAAAAAACTCTTTCTATTAGGCTTCAATCACTGCTTTCTTTTTAAAGTACTCAATAAATCTATTCCATTTTACATAGAAATTAGGGCTGGGCGATTAATCGAAAAGTAATCGAAATCGACTTTCAGAACCTATAATCGAATTTTTTTCAGGTAAATTTTTATTTACATTTTTTAAAAGGTTTAAATTTTAAAATTACTTTCCCTACCCTGTTTGGGGTCACGTGACCGTGCTCTCTTAAGGCTGATTTATACTTCTGCGTCTGACGCAAACTGACGCAGTCGCATAATCAAATCTCTCAAAAAATTTAACTACAAGTCGCACATTTGCACTACATTGATGATGATGATTGGAGGCTGCCCCAGAGATGCTTTGAGATGCCATATTTTCCATTACCTCTTCTTCTTTATTTTCTTTTCGGCTTAGTCTCTTTATTAATCTGGGGTCGCCACAGTAGAATGCACGGTCATTTTCCATTCTCTTAAAATGATTATTTACATTAAAATATTTGTTTACTGAAGATTCAAGAAATGCACTGTTTAAAATATACAAGAGTTGATTTATTTAGAAGAGATACTGCTTATTTTCTACTTATAAAATGAAAAACATTGAAAATAACTAATTTTGTTTCCAAAAGTGTGAGTTATTTATTTGAACCTTTTTATAAGAAAGATTGACTGTTGGTTTTCGGCAACGAGTGTTTTAATTTCAGCTGTTCTGCGTTGATGTTAAATAAATAATCAGTAGATAATGTGTGTTTCCTTCACTTATTTTAAAATCAAATAATGCACCCTTAATTCAAAAATCTCTCACTAGTAATATGCTAGCAGATTTACAAAACCGCTCTGAACTATGAGGGCAAAAAAATAAATAAATAAAATAATCGTCCATTAATCGTAATCAAGTTAAAATGTTTAATTAATCGAGATTTTAATTTTAGGCCAAATCGCCCAGACCTAATAGAAATTCTTAGTTTTATTTTTAGGGAAAGTCTTAGGTTCTCAAGTTGCAGGCAAGACATGCCTTTTTTCTGAACGTGGAGCAACGGGAAGGATTTCTCATTTTCAGTTCAGTAAAATCAATCTACGAGCCAAACGAGTTGATTTTTAGATAATTCTGCATCATCACTGACACCAAATATAGCTAAAATAGGCCTGGGGTACATTTGTTTCCCCACCACTTAAACAATGTCGATTTTTCACTTATTTTTTAATGACAAAATAATGATTAATTTCAGTTTTTCAAGACATTTACTGCTGGCAACAAAGATACTTAGAACATCTCTCAGGGAAACTCACTTTGTACATGATGATTATGATCATGTATGGACCATTTTTTGTAGATTTAAACACTGTTAAATTTGCAAAGTACCTGATTTCTGACATTCAGAATGGCACCGTTCAACATTTAAAATGTCACCTTTTTTGTGCTTTGCAATTTTAAAATAGTTTTCTGGTTTTATTTTAATCAAGAGAGAATTAGAAGTAACTAGCCAGGTTAACTTATTAGACAAAATTACATTTTGTTTGCATTTTACTTCCTTGGCGAAAGAGTTTTGGCCCTGCTTACTCACAGAATAGCTTAGATTTGAAATTGATATTTATTTCTTGTGAACAGAACAGAGAAATCTTTGGCTCTATGCACTGTTTGTTAGCAGCTTTTTTCTTTTTCAGAATGGAAAGCTACATATAATTTGCTCCATAACTGAATAGACTTCAACTTTAGATTCATATCAGAAGCTAAATAAAGCTACATTTCATACAAATTGACTGAAATTATTTATCTGTCAAATGAGCTAAAAATGAGCAAATATACGCAGGTAAATCACTCCCAAACAATATCTCCAGCACAGCATCAGCAAACAGCAGCGCGGCTGGCAGATCAATCACATTCAAATACTCTAAATAATTTCCCCAAGGTTCCCAGGTAAGACTCGCATCTTCAAAAAAAGAAAAAAGAAAAGCCTCACAAATGACGACACGGACCCCTCTGCATCGCCAGCATTAATATCATTTGGCATTTTTCATCTTAGCAGGTTTTGCCACCGCAGCTTGAGCAATCAATGTGAGCTCTGTCTTCATCTCTCTGTGCTGTTAACATGGTCTGTAGGGAGGGCTCTCACAGCTTCATGATAGCCTCATTAGCTGTTTCCCAACTATTGTTGTTTTACAACCGAGCTATGTGCGCAGAGTCGCTCATTAAGATAAGGCCTCCTTGTTGTCAGACGCAAACACTGACAAGCCGTTCTGACCTAACGCCAGGAAATCAGGCAACTTAACTGGCCTCTTTCCCACACAAATCAATGGCAGAATTTCCTTTCCGGAGCTGAACTGGGACTAACAGCCGAATCTTCATGCAGCACGATAAACACGCCACGTTTTTTTTAGATTTTAATCGAGAGGCACGAGGCGGTTAGATGGCTATATTTCAAAAGAGGAAGATAATAAATTCTAACTTCAAAAATGAAAGACCTTAGAGGCCAATAAAAGAGAAGAGAGGAGGAAAAGAGAGGCTGTCGGAGGAATTAGGCCTGGCGTTTTCACGGCCTCTGCTTTGCCGCTGTAAAGCAGACAAGGGCGTTCGCTACACTGACCGAAGCCCAGTGTTCAAGATCACTGAACTCTGAAACTAATCAGAGGTGCTGTTGCTTATTGTCCTGGAAACAAGCAAGACCTGCAAAAAGGAAGGCTGTCAACCTCCTGATTACCGAGATGGAAGATAAACGCTGGTCTATGTGGAGGCGCATCACATCTCAACACAAACCACAGCTATAGAGTTCTCCACGTCTGTCTCGTGCTCTCACCAATGCATGCTTTCATATGAGAGCAAAGAGAGAGAGGAAAAGGAATGACTTCCTTTTTTAACCCAATAGCTCCAGCAAAGTCACCTGCCTTAGAGAATGAAAAAAATGCTAAATCTAGACTACAAGGTGGTTAAAGGGATAGTTCACCAATAATGTTAAATTATTTAGTCTTTATGAGTTTCTTTCATTTGTTAAACACTAAAGAATATATTTTAAAGAAGGCTGAAAACCTGTAACCATTAAAAAATAAATGCTATAGCGGTCAATGGTTATGGATTTCCAGCTTACTTTTTCTAGAAAGAAACTCATAAAGTTTTGAAAGAAGTATAGGGTGAGTAAACTATTCCTTTAACTTTTGTAAAGTACCCACTAACATTAACTAATAAAAAAAGAATAGATTTGCTTTATTTATCTTTTGTATTTGATAATATATTAGGGTCAAAAACATGTAGTCTTATTTCAGCGTCCTCATCCAAAATAAGCTTACAAAAGTGATTTTATAATTGTTCTCTGGAATATTTATGGGTTGGGAATAGAGTAAAATGTTAAAATTAGTTTGTATTAAATAAAACACATCTGAAATCATGTTTCTTAAAAAAAAAACTTTTTCAGAAAAAGATAGTTGGTTAGAATATCATATTTTCATTTGTTTTCACTGAAAATCATCGATATTCCACAGAATATTGATTTCCTATCTCTATTAAAAATAAAACATTTGACCATTAAAATGTCATTGAGTCTTTTATCAATTGATTCTTGTGCTACATATGGCAACATTTTTGGAATATAAACTATTGTTACATTGAATGATATTTTTGTTATCTTTGTTTTCTTTAAATTGTGATAAAGTCTATGATAGTCATTATTTTTGACAAAGAAATTACTAGGCAAATTCTAATATTTAAGTCTCAAACATTTTTAAGTCTTAGTTCATTTAAATCATTATTGTAAAACACTTACTTAACCAAATAAGATTTTGTAAGATCACTGAAAAAGTATGTACAAACATTTTTCCTCCAAAAACATTTTTTTCCCCATCCACATATTAAAAACTGCTCCACCCTGATCCATTCCAGCAATACAATGTTTGGGTGGTTAAATAGCTTGAATTCCCAATATAAGTTCCTTAAATCCTTCATTATCAAATGTTCTTCTTTTGTGTTCAACGGATGAAAGAAACTCAGAATAACTCTAGAATAATGATGGATATGGGATTGAGTAAAACGTTACAATTATTATACAAAACAAACCCGATAATGTTTCTTTATTTTTTTCTTTTTCAGAAAAGGACAGTTGGTCGAAATATTATGTTTTCATTTGTTATTACTGAGAATCATATATTGATTTTATCCTATTCTTTAAGTTAAAACAGTTGATCGTTAAAATGTCATTGAGTCTTTCATCAATTGATTCTTGTTCTATGTGACAGAATTTTTGCAATGTAAACTACTGTTACACTGAATTATATATGTCTAATCTTTATTTTCCTTAAATTGTGGTAAAGTCTATAATAGTTATTATTTTTGACAAAAAAGTTACTGGACAAAATCTGACAACATTTAAAACTGTATTACTCTTGGAATGTTTTGTTTGAAATCCCCTATTTGTCTAGTATTTTTAAATGTTAGTTCATTTAAATCATTATTGTAAAACACTTACAAACACTACAAACTTTTGTCCTCCAAAAACATTTTATCCCATCCTCACAGTAAAAACTGCTTCACCCTGATCCATTCCAGCTATGCAATGTTTGGATGGCCAAATAGCTTGAATCCCCAATTTAAGTTCCTTAAGTCGTTCATTATTAAATGTGTTCTTCTTTTGTGTTCAACAGATGAAAGAAACTCAGAAAGGTTTGAAGCAATTAAAGGATAACAGTAAATGACGACAGAATTTTCAATTTTAGGTGAACTATCCCTTTAACAGTTGTTTGCATCCACTAACATTAACTAATAAAAATGAATAGATCTGTTTTATTGTTAATGTTTTTTGCACTGTGCGTTCAACTTTTGTATTTTAGAATATATTAAGGTCAAAAACATGGCAACCCATTTTAGCGTCCTCTTCAAATTTAGTCACAAAAGTAATTTTAGAACTGTTCTCCGGAATAATGATGGGTATCAGATTGAATAAAATGTTACAATTATTGCACAAAACACAGCTGATAATGTTTCTTTTTTTTTTCCTTTTCAGAAAGGGACAGTTGGTCAAAATATAATTTGTTTTGACTGATAATCATCAATATGTTTATTTTGAATCCCTTTCTTTAAGTTAAAACAGTTCATCTTTAGTCTTTCATCAACTAATTCTTGTGCTTAATATGGCAGAATTTTTGGAATATAAACTACTGTTACACTGAATTACAATTTTTATCTTTATTTTCTTTAAGCTGTGGTAAAGTCTATGATAGTTATTATTTCTGACAAAAATATTACTGGATAAAATCTTATATATGACAAAAATTACAACATTTAAATCTGTTTTGTAATATTTTGTTCGAAATCCCTTATTTGTCTAGTATGTTTGTGTTGTGTTGTGTACTTAAGCAAATTATATTTTGTAAAATCACAGAAAAGGTATGTACAAACCTTTTTCCTCCAAAACATTTTATCCCTTGCTCACAGTAAGAACTGCTTCGCCCTGATCCATTCCAGCAATGTAATGTTTGGACAGGCAAATAGCTTCAATCCCCAATATAAGTTCCTAAAGTCATTCATTATCAAATGTGTGCTCAAAGGTTACTGTGCTATTGTGAGGCTGAAATAAACATTAATTTGGGCTCTAGGGCCTGCCGGGGCTTCTGGTGACTCCAGACAGAGGCAGTTTGTCACCGGGCCACACATCAGGTACCTCAGTCTAGCCGGCAGCGTGTTGTTTGCTGCTCACTGGAGAATAGCGGGCCACACTTAAAAAATGGCTCTCTGGCGGATATATTTCAGTCGGAGTTCATCAGCAGCATAAGCCGACACAAAGCAGTCTTTTCTTGTGCTCTCCCTGCGTATGCTGCTTTTCTTTCTTACTTTTCTTGCTTGTTTTTTCTTTCTTTTTTTTAGACATGGAGCTCTGTTGCTTTCAGGCCCGGGTGCTTTTTCCCCCTCCCTCCTTTCCTCCCATCTCTCCGAAGAGATTTGGAACAAGGGGGATCCCTTCAGCACCTGCTCAGGTTTTCAGCGGGTCGGAGGGGTGCCCATTTACACGGTACCATCCTACTGGCACCAGGAAGACTTCCATTATACGGCTCGGCAGGAACGGCGCTTAAGAATCCGCGCTAGTCATTCATTGTGAAGGTATGTGCAAACGGCCTTTTTAAAAAGGCTAGCCATATCTGGACAGGATCCAGACTTTTTACTGCAGTTTGCATAAATCATGCTATTGTTTTTTCCCTTCTACTACAGTTAATATGCAAAAGGATGGATTGTGTATGACTCATACAGATATAGAGTCTGAAGCATGGATCAACTCTATCTGTACTTAATTTATTAATAATTAAATATTATTTACTTAGTTATAAACTAAAAATATTTATATATATGGTTGAATATTTTTTTTCATGCATCATACATTTCAGTCCAAACAGACTGATTTTCAACCGCCTTTTCCTTCAGGACTACTATAGGTAAAGTGCAGCAAGCCCTAAAACTAATTGGGTAAACACTTAACACAAAAAACACGTCCCCTATGCCTTGTAGTGCCCTTAAAATTCCAATTTCTGTTTTGTAATGAAGAGTTCATTAATCATTCATCTTTAATAGATTATGCAAATGGCACGACATAAAATCAACAAGATCAATGGCAGCGTGAATTTTAATTGGCTCAGGAAAACATTGCTGGGAATGAGCATAATCTCCAGCTCTATCCAATGAGAGGGAGTAATTTATTCAGAATTGGCTCTCCGTGTAAATGCGTAGGGTAATTTAGCACCTCCTTTAACTCTGTCCTTATTCTTATTTCCAGTTTATCACATGCGAGTACACCACAACATTACGTTATTGCATCTCTGAACTGCTTTTTCCCCCAATAAATGAGGTTATTACTGCCAAAAGTCATTTAGAATATGACACGCAACAGTTAATATATAAGACTCTCGAGAAATGTCATTTGAGGCTAGACAGCTTTGCAACATAATTACAACTGTGTTTTAGTTTAGTTTTTCTTGAAAGTCTCCTCATCGTGCATGCATAAACCAACGCTGTTGTATAAACATTAACAAGAGTAAAAACTTAAACAACCATTCAGAATCTCTCTCCCAGGGCAGTTTCCTGCTCTCCGCCAGAATCAAGAGGTGGTCTTGACTAAGACCCCCGGTGGGTCCCGTCCCAGGTGCAAGAAAGGCCACCTGCCATGAGGGTGCTCCCTAGACCGAGACTGCTTTCATACAAAGGACAAAAACACACCTTTCTTCTCCAGAGGCCCAACTTTCTGGAGGGAACTCTACCTCCCACATATTACCGAGGGGGGAAAAAAGCCCTTTCTTTTCACATAACATTATCCAGCTATCATTTGAGAAGGGGGCACAGCAATTTTCAATCATCCTGTCCTCCGCCCACACAGAACTCATTGGCTTTGATGGCTCCTGCATAATTATGTGAATTTTATTAAAAGCTCAGCGTATTAATCTCAGGCCGACAGTTGGCTATCAGTAAACTTAACCTTCGCTGAGGTAATAACAGCCGCAACAATGAAACAATATTTCAATTAGCCAGGCTGACATTAACCATGAGAAGAAGAGGGAAAAAACCCAAACACTGCAGCATTAAAGGCCAAACTATGCTCGAGTGCCATATTTCTTTCTGAGAACTGTACGCTGAGGACAACATTTGAGTACACAAAGTGGTATAGCAGTCCGCAGCGATTCTCCATGATCACGTTTGGGCCTTGCATGCTTGTCTGTTTCAATCGTGGCTCTCTTACAGAGCAGGCAGCGCTAATCCATCCACTTTAGATCAACATGTCACATTCCACTCTCACCTGTCCTCTTAACTTACAAAGCTCACTTTACCACATAAAACAGTCTAGAATATGAACGTCCTAATGGCCAGCCGGGACAGTCGATCCAGCGCTCTTACCTGTCACTACTGGGTAGCTCTGTGACACGCTGGAGCCCAAATCTGAGCTGACGCTGGTTGACAGACTGGGCTTGACTTCGTCCAGTCCAGGGTTCAGTGCTGGTAGCGAGTACTCATTAGCCTGCCAATGAGGGGAGGGGACACTTTAAGGAGATGAATCTTGGGATCCAAGCATCTTTTTTTGTTTTTAAGGTGTCCAATTAGAAAGCTTTCCGCCTCTGAGCTGCCAGTGATTTTCTTTTTGGTGAAAATGTTTAACACAAATAACCAGGGATTTAATATAGTAGCGGCTCAGTTCTGCTGGCTTTGTAAATGGGCACCTGAAATCCAGTTCTACATTTTCCTCCCTCAGTCAGAGAGATGTGCATGTGTGTTTTGGTGGTGGAGTTAATGTGAACTGTGTCTGCATACATTAAGGTTGTGAGCGGGACAGAGAGTAGGATTTGGAACAGACTGAAAGGAAGGGGTGTCAGCTGTCTCTTTGTGCTTGACTGCAGTCATTCCCCTGACCAGCCAAGGGAGGAGACGGGTCCGCTTTGTTAGATTACCAACATGGCCTCGTTTCGAGACTATTTGTAATTGTTTTCTTTGGGATGAGAAAATGATGATATGAACGTAAGCCTGAAAATGGCTCTCCATTATGCTAAAACATTGACGCTGGATTAATTTGAGTTTTGCAAATAGATTTTCTTTGTAGCCAATGCAACAAATGAGAATAGATTTCCGGCTACCATTGTTCATGGCGTATTAAAGTGCGAGCATACATATGTCCGCTCGTATACGTGTGTGTGTGTGTGCGTGCGTTTGTGCATCTGCACACCACAATAGGCCGGTGTCCCAATGGGAAACGCCGTGACCCCAGACTTGTCTGTCTCTATTCCAGATAAACTCTAATTGTCTGCTACAAATGTTCAGTTGGCCAGTAGCGGATGTTCCTCTCTATTTGGTCTGGCCTCAGATGCACAACAGCTATTTTATCATGCAGATAGGGGCAAGTTGGGCGTGGGGCAACTGAAGAGCCATCTGAAAAGGATGACCAAATGGCTGGCAGAAGTGTGGGAGGGGTGAGCCCATTGAGTTTAGCATTTCCAAAATGGCTTTTTAATGCCCGGCCTCACACACCCGACATGGCTAATAGGTCCACTCTTTCAAGAGTTAAAAAGGGGGCACAAAAAACGGACCAATAAATGGGAATGTAGTCTGATTAATATTACATTAAATTAAAAGTGATTTTTCTGGACTGTTCCAGGGCTGTTTTTTTCCCCTGCATTTAGCCTCTTTCCTTGCCTTTTTTAATACCTTCTTGGCTTCTCTTTGTGATTGCAAGTCATTTCCAATTCGTTTTGGTATTGATCTTCCAGTAGAAATCAGTTTTGTAATTAGCTGCAAATTAGGCCCTCTACTAGGGGTGAGGGCTGTCCCCCTGATTTATCACCAGTGTAATTCTCTGCGATCGGAGAGAAATTAAAATGAACTCAATTAGGCCACTGCTTTTGCTTTATGGGCCCTTACTTGGAGTTTCAAGGGAAAAATTAATAGTCACTGGTTGTTTGATAGTATAATGAAAGTAAATAAAGCTTATCTCTTGTAATAAGCCCAAGTCTTTAAATAAGAACTTGAATATAGTAGGCCGTTTTGTTGTTGTTGTTGGCTTGTTTTTCGCCGCATACATTTCCATGAGCTTCTTCATTCAGACTAAACATTTGTCAATTATTTTTCAGATTCATATCACTGGATTCGTGTTGATGTGCAATTATTAAAAACTAAATTAATCTGGCTTTAATGCACCTTTGACTATTTAATGCATATATTAGTGATGCTTGGGCAAGATGCATCATTTAACATTTGTCTGGGATTAAATGGTATGGTGACTTGATTTCACTAATTTATCTTAAGGCAAATAAATCTCTAGGCTCTGCTGTCCGCTCACACAAATTAGTACTATTAGTGCTGTAATTAATGTTTTAGTTTGTTAGTATTTTACTCAGTATTACTAACCTGCTCTGGCTTGATGTGTTCTGACGTGGGGAAGACGTCGGGGTATGACGGCCGCTCAAACACCCGATCCAGAGCCTCCAGCTGCTGTTGAGTGAAGGCATCAGCCCTCAGGTGCTTCCGTAAACTCTCCACACTACCCTGAGAATCACTGTTAGGGCCAGAGCCATCTGAACCATCTATGAGAGGAGAGAGGGACAAGGGCACATGCTAGTACCAGTCGTTATGGTCCCGTTTCTCCCCAGGACAGGCACCCCATCCCACCTCCCTCCCCCCAACCCACACATCTAGCGCCGTAGTGCACCTCTCAGCACCACTGGATGAAAGATTGGAGTATATCAGCTCAAATTCAGTCAGCGCTAGCCTCAAACTGATCCTAATAGCTGTGGAAAGATAGAGCACATGAAGCTGGGAGAAGAGAGAGAGCGGGGGGAAGATGTGGACGGTGCAAAGTGGGAGAGAGAAGACCCACGCCACACCTCCCCCCTCCCAGATCAGCATCAGCACCGTCATCATCTGATAGGCCTGCAGTAATTGATGGATTACCTTCAGAGCAAACATATACTTGTCGGCAGCACCATGTGTTTTAGCATGAGCCGCCCTGTTCTCTTTCCCGACAGCGGGCTGCTTGGAAAATGCAGAGCTATTATTTAAAAGGCACAATTTCCTTTAGAATGTAATGCTGCTTTCACTTTCAGATTGCTTTTCCCTGGAAAAATGGGAGAGCAGTCCCGTCTTGAATACAATTACACAGCTTGACTGCCAGCTTATGCATTTCCCTCTCTATAAACAAATGAACAGTTTCCCCTCAGACCGTGACCTCATCACCCAGCCGAAGCAGGTAGCCTTTCTTCCCCAGTGCCTCATTTTTGCTCGTCCCGGAAACCCCTTCGCAAACACTCAGCAAACGTCCGTGCAACCTCGCCTGCCTCCTGCCTCTCGCTCTCTGGTGGTGGAGGGGCTTCTCTCTTTTTTTTTGCTCCCTTACAAATCTGTCATTCTAAATTTGCAGCAGATTATGTTCTCTCCTCGGCGAGAGCGTAGTGATATATGATATGCAAGGCCCCTATTGATTGCCTGATCTGGTGGCAGGAGAGAGGCGAAATGAACTTGAAATGAACATCATGCCTCAACTCATTGTGCGTATAATACTCTACTTAATCCCACATTTTTCTGTGCTATGGAATTCAATTGATCAATCATGTTCCACTGATAGTACCATTTCAGGGGCTTTATTGCCATTCTACCCGCCAGCTTGACCTTTTTTCAATGGCTGAGGCCACAGGATGAACTGACTTTCAGGAGAAATAGATCCACAGAGAGGTGTGATAAGAGGCTGGGAGATATTGCATGTGTGAGAGAGTGTGAATTTAAGCCACACCAAGGCAACATTTTTCTCTTCCTATTAATTCCCGGTGTGGTTGTTTTGTTGTGTTTTTTTTCTCCCTGCATTATCTGAGTCATTCCATATCTGAGCGTAGGCATTTTTTATAGACAGCTCCCTTGGGGGCCTTCTATAAGGCAGCACGTTGTTGCTGTATAAACCTCAATTGTTCTCTTTGGTACAGAAGAAAATAGAGTCATTAATTACTTTCTATCAGCTGGTCTAAGTGCAAACTGCGATCAATAAGCAGGCGTTTGTCATTTGCTTTGGTACAGCATGTTTCCCATACTCAAAAGCCCAAAGCGCGTTGGGGCGCAGGTTGACTTGGGGGAGGACGAACCTGCGGTTTGAGTTGTAGAGGGAGAGAGGGGGGGTTGGGCTTATCTCTGTTATATTACAGTTAGGTTAGTTTAAGGTCATATCAGCTTTTCTGAGTTTTTCGCCGGGATTCACTGTGAATGCGGCGATGTTGTCTCGACTATGTATATGGCTCCACTCCTGTTTACATCAGCGCTCGTGCTATATTGATTTCATTGGAACACTTGAGTGTGTTTGTTTTGACATCCCACTGCATTAGCACTCTGGTGCTATGGGACTAAAGCTCTGTCAGATCAGATAACCAGAGTCCATAAAACAGGCCTCCCTTGGGTTTCCTCCTCTGGAGAGCCTAGTTCAAATAAAACTAAGAACAAGAGACAGTCTTATCATAGTGAACTTGTTATTTTAATAGATGCACTGTACGGTAGTCAATGACTGCATGTTTAAGACTTTTAAAATCATTAAAGATAAAGCATCCTAAATGTGTGATATGAATATATTAGTGTTTTAGGAAGCGTTTTTAGGGTTGACTGGGCAGGTGTGACATTCTTTAGGGGAACAGTGCTGAGTTTCCTGCTTTCATCTCATCAGATAAGGCTGGCTTGGATGAGAGAGCTTTTTGAAAAGCAAATGAGGGTCTCGTGACCTCTATGACCCTTGACCTGATATCACACATCTCTTGTTTTTATGTTTTACTTTTACTCCAATAGGGACAGTTCACCTAAAACGAATCTTCTGTGATTATTTACTCATCCTATGATGTTCTAAACCCCTTTGACTTTTGCTGAAAACAGCATGGGATAATTTGAAAAGCTGTTTTAGTTTTTTATGCAAATCAATGGGTAATATTTTCAATTTTTTTTGATATGCAGTCTTTCACATAAGAAAAGTTTGAAACAAGAAGGCAAGTAAATAAAGATGCATTTTATTTCTGAGTGCACAATACTTTTTTTAACAGATAAGTCACTCAAAAAAATTTATTTCAGATATAATGTATTTAAATTTCACTTGTTCCAAACCAGTTTAAGCGTCTTTCTTCTATTGAACACGAAATAAGATATTTTAAATAACACTGGCTGCCATTGGCTTCCAAAAAAATTGTCAGTTCCTACCAGTTTCCTGCATTCTTCGTAATATCTTATTTTGCTTAGATGGGGGAAAAAAGGTTTGTAACCACTTCAGGGTAAGTAAAAGAAAATGTCATATTTGGGTAGAAATTGAAGTGAGTTTACTGTAATTATATAGGCTGGAGAATCGAGTAGAACAAGAAAACAAAATAGTATTCTTTGAAAAGCTGTTTTAGTTTTTTTATGCAATGAAAAAGTCATTTTTTTATTATTTTGATGTGCAGTGTTTCACCCCTAACCCCCACCCCCCACAAAAAAATTAAAAAGTTAGAAACAAGAAGCCAATTAAGTAATAACATATAAATTTCTGAGTGCACAATTTAGTGCCTTTTAAATAGATAAGTCATGGATATAGTTTATTTGTGTTTCAGTTATTCCAAACCTGTCTGAGCTTCTTTCTTCTGTTGAACATAAAATAACATATTTTTAAAAATGTTGCAAACTGGCTGCCATTAAGTGGCTACCAGTTTCCAGCATTCTTCAAAATATTTTATTGTGTGTTTGAATCGGGAGGAAAAAAGGTTTGGAATAATATCAGGGTTGGTAAAAGAGCATTTTATTTTGGGGTAAACTATCCATCGAGCCAGAGTGTTCTATCTCATTGAAAAATCAGAATATTTTATTTTTTATTCTAATGAAAAAGTGACTTTTCACATTTGTTCAAAAACTAGAAATTGAAGTGAGTCTACTGTAATTATATTGGCTGGAGAATCGAGTAGAAAAAGAGATTTGGCACTCCTGTTTATGAAATATATGGTCCAACAAGACTGCACAGCAAATAACTAAATCACAAGAAAACGAGACAATAGAAGAAAGAACAAGAGAGGGATGGAGGGAGAGAAAGAGCGAGATGGCAGCAGCAGCACAACCGGGGCTGTTAATTTCCTGTTATGTTACAGCGTGTTTAAAGGCTTTATTAATTCAATTTAGCGTCGCTGTGCAGTGTGCAGACTGCCAGTAGGAGCTGCGCTTTCTCTCTTTTTTCCTCTTTTCTCAGGCTACCGCTGTCAGCATGGGTTTCTCCTCTCACCCATAACACACATTCTTTACTGTACTCACACCCAGTCCGTCATTTAGCACATCGGCCTCATGTGACGCAGCGTTCTGGAACGCAATTAATGAATGCGTATCTCTCTTGCTCTCACTCTCTTTCCTTTTAAAATCTGCGTAATGCGGCGCACCATTAATTCTCAGCATCAGTGTTCATAATTGACTTTTCTCTGACATGACTCCTCTCCGAAGCGAACCACCCTGTCCGTATATGTTTTGGTGCTGCAGATTTTCGCGACTGTGCTATCAGGCAAGCTGGGGCGGCGGGTCTGCTTGAATGCAGATGTATCAGCCGAGCGGGGGCATAGACCTTTTGTGTCCTTTGATAAGGAGCCCGGCACCTTCTTCTCTGCCGGTTCCGCTCTGCAGCCTCGCTCAAATCTGGGCTTTCTCTTTCATACAGAGGCCATCATCATGATGAGATTGGTGGGATGTTCTTATTCGATTTAGACTGAGGCCAATCCATTTCTTGGTTTGGATGTATTTCATTTCTATTCTTTTTTTTAAAGTAGAATCCATATTGACACAATAGAATCTCACAAGCCATGAAATGGAAGCATGGGTTCAAGCATTCTAGCTGTGGGCCAAACTATTTTAGCATGGGGATTTGAGGTGTGTCGTCGCTCCCTTTCAAAGCAATACTTTTTTGATGAACAAACAAGCTACAAAGTGAAACTTTTCCATACCGCAGGGGCACGGATTTAACCTCTTTATCGTGCTAAGGCCAAATAAATATGCCTCTAGGCTTTATAAATCAGCCCACTTTAATATCTTCCCTCTGAAAGCACGCTCCCACAGCCGATTCAAGCGTCAATCTGCGTTCTTGCGGCTAATTTATAGCAACTGGCCCACTCCTTATGTAGGCCCTATGTTTGGCTTGGTGATGAACTTGGGTCAAACCAACCTGCTAATCAGCCAACACAAGGACAGGTGAGAACCAAACCCCAAAGAAAATGCACCGCTCATGCCTGTACGCTAGTAATTAACTCAGTTCATTCATTTGTGTCAGTTTGTAACAAAGTATTAACTTTGACAAATGAGAAATCCCAAACAGGCTTAATTTCCCTCTTTTGCCATTAATGCATTTGGCAAGAGAGGCATTCTATTTTCCATAATGAGATACACAAATAAATCTGGCAATGGATTGAAGGGCCTGTGAAAGCAGCAATAAGGTTGAGGCGCATTCTCTGTGCTGGCATAATTGGTATCACTGCTTGCAGACATATAAACCAATCTTTACACAGATAGGGCTGTGTCTCTCTCTTCCCCTTTAGGCTATTTCTTTTGTCTACTCAATAGCTTGCACATCCACGATAGAGGAAGGGGGTGCTAATTTGTGAATTAATAGCTTTTCTCTGCAGAATTGCAAATTCTCTTAAATGTCACTATGTTCAACTTGCGGGGAGCTATTGCCACCAAAGAACTAATCTTGGGAGGCTCTTCCCCTCCCTCCCTTCCTCCGACGGTCCACATCCAACGTCACCCGTAGCCGGCGAGCAACACGCTACTTTTAATTTGCAGTAACACATGAAAATGACAGATTAATGACTCTTATGACACCTGTGTCCCTGAAGCTCCTCTTGCAAAGACCTGGTGTACATAACGCGTGTCACACTACATTATCTCCATATCACTCTTATAATGGGGACCTTTTTTTTTTAAAGGGCACTAGCATCATCGAATATAAAGTCTACGGGAGCCTCTCTTAAATCAAGCACTGAATGAACGCTAATTCATTTCTTTTCCCAGAACTGCCTGGTTGAAATGTTTGAAAGTGCATCTGCACAGCTTTTCCTACAATCGGATTAGCATATTTCTGTTATGTCATCGTCTAATGAAGGGAAGATTGGCTGTGCCCAGCCAAATAGGGCTCTCAGGTAGCCCAAGGCTGCTGGGCTGCTATGAAATTGAAACCATACACTGGCTGTCGCTCTGCCTCCCTGATGTCTCGGTGTGAAATAAGGGCTACGTTTAAATAACGCAAAGCTTTTTAGACATTTGGCACTGTATCAAATTGCCCGCCATGAGCTCTTCATCAGGGACACGGCGTGACATATGCCCTACAAATGTCTCAGTACACCTTGAGAGACCTACATAAGGTCAGAGCACTGAAACACAGTGGCAACAACCGGAATATTTACTCTACTTGTTATAATGAAAGGTAATCCTCACCCAAGCGGTATTAAATTTGATATTGCGCACGCAAGTAAACTCGTGTTTGCCTGCCTAGTGTTTTATGATGCAATTACACTCAAGCCTTTGATCCACTCTTCACGTCGTGTCAGTTCTAATCAAACTAGGAATAACTACCGGCGCTGGCATTCGGCTGGGTAATCCCCTCTCGCTCATGTTATGTCCCTTCTCTGTTTTTAGGAGCAAACGGTCTATGACAGTGACAGAGGAAAAGCCCTACGACGGTCTGGGTAAGAGCATGCCACGCTGGAGCAAATGTGATTTGCCACAGTCGCTTTCTCGCAGTGTTTATATATGATCCAGAGCCCTCTCCATAAAGATATCATTAAGCGTCAGTGCGCTTCATCTCATCCCCCTCCCCTCGACACACAACGCTAGACGTACATGTGCACACACACATACACACACACATAGACACTCATATACACCCTCACAGAGCACTTGATCAGACTCGAGTGGCTTGTGATTGAGCAAGCAAAGAGAAGGTGGGCTAACGGAACTTACAATATCCTATTTTCCTCCCATCCAAGTGGTTGCCACTCCAGAGAACTAAAGAGATGGAAACATAAAAGAAGCAAGTAGCCCTGCTTTGATAAATGTTTTAAGAGATCATTTCCAACCACTTCAACCTCCCTCCCTTTGACTACAGCACTTTCTGTGTTCTCTTTCGGCCCGTTGCCACATGGATGTTTATTCACTAGCATTCAAAAGGCGATTGTATGAACAGCCAATCAGCCATTAGGCCTTAGGCAGTATGTGCCCTCTCATTTAGAAAAGGAGAGAGAATGTTGGCATGAGCAGGTTGGCAGCTCCCTTTTTTCTTTTGTTTTTTTCTTTCTGTTTTTGCTGCTGTTTCAGTTCTCATAAAAGCAAACATACACAACCAGACAAGTGCGAGAGATTAAAACGTCTCAAATAGTTTTTAAGCCAATCATAAATAGAGTCATTTGAGTGCTCTCCCAGTCTGTTCTGAGCACATTTCCTTATGCATCTCTTGCATTTACTTTGCTGATTTCTCGGTCTTCGTTTCCGTTGACCTGTATTATTTACCAAAGCATACAACCGTGACGCGCTACCTAAGCGCTATGCTGTCATGATTCGACCAAATGATAGCATGTAGGCATATTCTTGTTTGCGCAGAGCTACTGTATCATCAAATAAATGTGCTACAGCCGTGCAAACACCATAGTATCAAGCGGCTGAATGAAATAGTCCAATCTGCTTTACTACATAACAAGTCACTTGAGAGCGCTTTTTTCTTTTACAAAATGCTTTGTCCAGTGCTATCAAAATGCCATCTTCATCTCCCCACACAAATTGGAAATTACAGGGGGCTGTAGAGAGGCCTAGAAAAGGAGTGAGAGGGGAATAAAAGCGATGGAGAGAAATCCAGTCTCTTACCATCATCACGTTTTCTCTTTTCGCCGTTGGAGCGAGGGATTCCTAGGATGCCATTAATAGAGTAGGACCCCACGGGGTCATTGGAAGCGCTTGACACAGGTGGGGAGGCTGTGCTGGGCACTGAAAGAGCACAGGAATAGGTTAACGTATATGGAGTGCTCTCAAGATCACCTTAAAAGAGAATGAATTAACATTAGGTCACAGGCGTAATTGATGTCATTATGATTTTTATTCTTGATGTTTATATGCATAATATATGGTGTCTCACCTATAGTGTGTCCCGCTGTGGAAAGAGGTGTTCCTGTGCCGTCGGAGGATGGGTGGAAAGGCTGCTGAACTTTGGTTCGAATTATCCTACGAAATGGGAAAGAACACAATGAGTTGAAGGTGCAGCTGGTTCGCTGGCTTGCAACGGTTAGCTTCTGCATGCCGCCCATTGTGTGTGTGTGTGTGTGTGTGTGTGTGTGTGTGTGTGTGTGTAAAAGTCTAGTGTGTTTTGGGCCCTTCCTACATAGACGCGCTGTTTCTGCCAAAAATAACCAATCTTAGGGTATTAGGGCCAATCATGGAGGCAGAGCGAGAGCTACTGTGGAGAGAGTGGATTCAATCAAATGGGATCCCGTCTTTAGAAATATGATAAAGTCCCACTACCTCCAAGGTGTGATATGGGGGAAAGTCTTCATTGCACTTTGGTCTGAATGATCTTGCAAACAAAGCATGAAATCACATCAATTCACCTCAATGATGAGCTTCACTGCCTCGAACTGGCCTCAGCTTTAATAATCTCTTTCTCTCTCTCCCTCTCTTCTACTTTATCTATCTCAATCTCTCCCTCTATCCTCCTCCTCCTCCTCACTGAAGCAAGTGAAAATTGCTTGTAGAGTGTGGATACTGACTTCCCGGATCCAACATTTTTTTTAGAACAAACATTCAGGGGTGCCAGCGTGGATGAGGCCCTATTGATTGGGACTTGAGGATAAAAAAAAGTTGCGAATTAGAGGCAGAGAAGAACAGATGCAAATGGAGGGCTATAAATTATATGTGACAGGAAAGCAATAGTGTCTCATTGCTTCACCAAAGCCCACTGCAGCATCTGATGTCTTTAATCTGGGACACGCTTTTGAGAAAAGAAGCTGTCGCCTTATTCTAGGAACACATTTATACTCGTTGGCTACACATTTTCACATTTGTAAAAACTGTAAATATTATTACTTATAAAATTCTTATTCTATGTGTGCAAAGAGTCAGTCCTTAATTCAGTAAATTGACAAAATGCTATATATATTTAGGCAAACTGTAACTAACACACACACACACACAAACATATATATTTATAAATGTTTTATATATATATATATATATATATATATATATATATATATATATATATATATATATATATATATATATATATATATATATGCATATTTATTACATTTGCATGCGTGTTACTTTGTATTTTAAGTGTCTAAAAACCTATTGCCCTTTAAGTGAGAAATGAAAGGAAGACAGTTTATTTTAAAATTACAGTTAATACATTTTTTATGGTTGCACTGTGCTCTTTAAATGAAGTTGTTTAATGTGATAAAATAAAGAATTCAAATAAATAAAACGATAAATATGAAAGATTTATTGTTGGTATACAAAATTGTGTATACTACTTTTAGTGGTGGTTTCTGTAGAATTCTCACCGAAAAAAAATCAGTAACACATTTTAATGTATAAAACAAAAACTGTTTAAAGCAGTATTATCCCTTTAACTGCATGTTCTACCAAATGGTTGACAATATTTTGACTGTTCTATATAATGACTGTTAAAGAATGGTGTACACTACACATTGTTTACAAGAAAATCAATCAAACACAATTCTGTTGCACTACTACACTTGATTTTGGTTTTATTGTAAAACAAAAAAAAAAACAAGAAAACATGTTAAATGAGAATCTGGTACATTTGATGGCATAATAAAAAATTAAGATAATTTAGTATTTAAAAATGTTTTATTTTGAAGATTTTTTCAAATGAATTGGTCTTACAGATCATATTTACTGGTTTTTCTTAGTATATTGATTACTGTATTTTTATCGTAAACCGACATATCTATCATTTAAAAGAGTGGCTGTGTTGGGATACGATGTGTAAAAAAAAAATGCATTGAGCCTGTTTACTAGTGGCATTAAAGTTAAAAATGCAATCCATTTTTTTCCTTCTTGGTGGGGCAGTTTAAAGGGTTGTTATTATATATTATTACAATTTGATTGTTTTTAAATTTAGCTACTGTAGTAGGATCCATGTTCTCGCTATCGAATGAGCTATTTGGAAGGTGTGAATTAATGACTTGCCAGGGTGCTGAGAAATTCCCTGTAGAAACATTAAAATATGAATCAATGCTATTGAAAGTACGCTTAGGATTCAGGCGATAGAAGGGCTCAGAACTGGTTGTGTGCCAGTGACTTCATGCTGTGAGGAGGACACAGAGAACACCCCAGACAGTGTGTAATCTTCAATAATTCATGCAGAGAAAATGTGCTTAAAGCTGGGACATCTTCTAATGTCAACAGAGCAGAGGTCAACCTCTTAAGCACTCAGTGCATGAGGGTCCTGCCTCTGAAGTCTGCTCACTGCTGAGGGAATACTTCCAGACACCTGTTTGAAATGGCACAAGGCTTGTTTGACTAGACCACCACAGCCAGTGTCAAATCTTATTCTGCCGCAATAACAGGAAATGTTAAAATATTGTGTTTGCAAATTGTTTGTAGTCGAGCACTTCCGCAAGTCTCAACGTTAAAGGATGGATTTCTGGTGCAGTACAGCGAAGTTCACTTAAAAGCAAAGCCCTCACTGTTTACTTTAGCAACTCCAATTTTATTAAACAATACAGGCAGTTTTTGAAATTATTAACTCAGGTTTAAAAAAAGAAAAGAAAAAAAGAAAAGTTTATTCAGGAAAAAAATAAAAAATTATTATATTAAATTATAATAATTAAATTATATTAAATATATATATATATACATGTGTGTGTGTGTGTGTGTGTGTGTGTGTGTGTGTGTGTGTGTGTGTGTGTGTGTGTGTGTGTGTGTGTGTGTGTGTGTGTGTGTGTGTGTGTGTGTTTATAATGTGTAATATATATGTTATTATTTCCCAATAAACAGATGTCCTAACAATGCCCTCCTCTAAGATGACAACTTGAACATCATCAGAAACTAAGGTTTATTGGCTCTTCTTTCATGTCATTATGCAGATTAAAAATTTACCACATACATGTGTTGAGACCTGTTCAAATTGCCCTTTTTAAGCAGCCATAGTGCATGAAATGAATTTTTTCAGCCTCTCTCTCCTCAGTTTTTTTTTCAAGGAAATGTCTTGTGCGGGTCGGCCCATGATCTCTCTTCAGCTCATTAAAATGTAATGCTGCTGGCCAGCTCTATGGAACAGTGCCTCCTAACCAAAGTTCATTACTCCTGCTTGCAGGTAGGCCTTTTTCACCTTGTTCTTCCACTCTAGCACCCCCTCCCACCACCACTACTCCATCTCACTTGGGATAGTCTCGCTAGCCTTCGTATTTTAATAAGAAATAAGAATGAGAATGGTAACTAATTGTCAAGACTTTATTTTCAGTTAACTGATTCAATGTAAGTACGCATATAAGGACTGCATGTGATTTCCCTTGCATTATTTACGATAACACAAGGACTAAAGAACTTAATAATGATTGGTAAGTTTAACAGCTCACTAAAATTGCTATTGAGAAGCCTTGTTGTGCTGACTATTATTGTTTATTATTAATAGTTATATCGTTAACCATTTTCTATGTATTATAATTAATATTTTTATTAGTAGAAGTATTGGCAAAAGTACTATTATTGTATTGTTAATAATAATATCGTCACAAAATTTTCAAATGTTATAATTTTTCAATAATTAAATCAAATATTCTAAATAAACAACTTTTTTTCAACACAAATGAACTCCCGTTTCCCCCCTTTTGCGTACTATATTTCTTTAGGACAACTGTGATGGGATTCCGTAAGGTAACATGGCAGTGAGGTCTGGTCGCGTATTTCCCAGTGCCATTGGGTCTGGTTACAGAGTATTGATTGGTTTTCATCGAGACAGATGTGATTTTCGCGACCTCAACTATAGATCCTCTGCAGGCTGTGGACAGATTTGGGATTGAATTGCACATTTGAGACCACCCCGAGAGCAAGAATTAAAAACGGAAAAAAAACATCACCCATAAAATACACACCGTTATTTAGAAAGGATAAGTAGTTTTTTTTAAATATATAAGTGCTTAAATGATTTTAGATTTACTGGTAATAATTTAGCCGTCACTGTTTTGATTCGTTGTTTTAATAACAGCAACTGTTTAAGGTCAGTAGAGAATGGATTTTGAAAATAGCATCACTGACAGTGTTTTTCTAATTAATTTAAAATTTGAAAAAAAAAAAAGAATTTTACCTGTTTATAGATGAAACACTTGGTACTGTGTCGTTGTCACAAACGCCTTCGGCCAAGAGTCGGTCTCTGATCTCCCAGGCGAACATTGTAGGATTTTGCCGCTTGTATTCTGCGATTTTTTCCACAACTTTGGGCGTCGCCACTTTTGGTTTGGACCCCCCAATAACTCCAGGTTTAATACTGCCGGTTTCATAATATCTGAGAAAAGATAAACGATAATACGTTATTTAAAATAATTTTGCCAAGCCATGAAAGCTATAATGGCGGGTTTTGTGTTAGCTTGTGGCATTGGGCATATTTATAAATTGTGATATACGGGACATAAATGATAACACAATCTATACATTTAATCACAACTTTATTTCAATTTTTTTCCCAAATCCTACTGACGGAAATGTGTGTCATTTCTATTTTACTACGTATATTTAATAGATTTAGCGTCTTGAAACATTAACATTTGTTGGCTGCGATCTGAAAAATTGCAATCATCCATTTATCAAACGGTTTCCTCAGAGGCTGATGTGTGTCCCATGCACCCCACGATTAATACATGCCACCAACACATATCTCATAATTTCTAAGGAACATTTAAAGTGCAGAATACCTTATAAGATCCTTTTGATAGCTGAAAAATATTTCAAAAAATTCAAAAATCTACAACAGTTTCCTAGAAAACATATCCTTCCTCCTTCACAATGAATAAGGTCAGTAAACTTAACATTAGACCTTTTTTGTTACTAAATTACTAAAAAAGAAAGAAAGAAAAACTACGACACATAACAGCACAACCATGCTTAAGATTTATTTACATTAAACAATAATATTTTAGCATTGTATATTAACGGAAATAATTGTAATATATGTGCTTTTTCTTACCTTCCGAGAATTTTGCTGACACAGCCATGGCTGACCCGTAGTTGTCTTGAAATGTCACAAGGTCTGACTCCTTGGTGTGCGAGCTCCACGATTCTTTGCCTGACCACGTCAGGTAGGGGTCTGCCATTCACAAACACCCCTCCTAGCTGGTTCACACCGCCGTGCCCTATATGGGATACAACAACACAGACACAAAAAGCATAACATTACATACATATAGAAGATATGCTGTGCCGTTAACATGGCTACCACACACAAGCGTTAATTTTCTCATTCTCCCCTCACTCTCTCTTTCTTTTTCCCTTTTAACACTCTCCGCATGGGAGCGCGCACGCACAAACACACACTACCTGTGTGTGCACGTGTGGACGAGGATAAACAATAAGATAGTTAGGCTCTAATGTCTGTATTAATTAAGAAACAAAATAAAAAATGAACCCGTAAAAAGTCTTGACCTCCATGTTTTGTCTTTTTTTAGTCTTTTTGTTCGCATGTTAATCAATTATCGAAATCTTAATGGGCGGTTAATAATGTTTTTTTATTACTTTAGCGCGTTGAAAAACTGTTTTTAATTTGTAGTTAAAGTAAGCGCTTTATGTAGTCTATATAGATACATTTTGTTACCACAATAGTGACTGATAAATATACATAAATATGAATTGTTATATTTTACAGTTGTTATAGTGATAATGATATTGATAACACTAACAATACAAATAATACTGATGATAATAATAATAATAATAATAATAATAATAATAATAATAATAATAATAATAATAATAATAATATGCTGTATTTTTTTTCCATAACCTTCTTTTTTAAGCGCGCTCATGATTGTAAACACTGGTAAAACGTCATGTGCTATTCTAGTCATAAGAGCCGCTGCAGTTAGGTACTATTTTCCTCTACTATTCCATTGCAGCCAAACACATGTCGCATAGATTATGTTTCAACCTGTTTAATTTTCCTTGCACAATTATTGTAAATAATTAAAAAGAGCTTTGATAACTCATATTACAACCATGGAGTAGGCTACTACAAAATAATTAAGAATTAATTATTTAAATTAGACCCAGGCCTTCCGTCATCTTGTTACAATGACGTGCTTTTTAACAAATATCGCATAAATAACTGAATTTAAATTATTATTGCTATTATTATTATGCCTATCAGAAATCCTTTTTCTCTTTCGTTTTTAAATTGTATGCAAGTTTATTTTCATGTACATTTTGCGCTTTACATTTTTAAAGCAGTGCTTTTTAATATAGGTTATTTTAAATATTTTTACATTGCATTTGGAGACATCGGGTCTCAAATGTAATGCTTTTTGCCAATTTCAGATTTTTTATTGTATTATTTTTCAGTAGCTAAATCTATTTTTACCCATGTAGGCAGTAGTCATTTATCCAAACATGATAGTTTAAAAATATGACTTATGTTGTTGCTCATGAAATGCGCGCGAATCACTGATGTTTTACATAAAATTGAGAATTGTAAATTAAATTAAACTAATATTACGCTGTATATAATAATTGACTTTCTCAACTACTTTTTTCATAAACGGCTAAATTGCTGTGAAATGTAACCAGCGGACACGTGTATTTTTAAGCTGAGTACTTTCCGTATTTTACCGTACTATGTAAATAAATTATTAAAACAATCATTAATAAATTTCTTGTAAGACCTTTGAAAAAAATAACGCGCACATGTAAGCCTATGGTTTTACAAAGCCAGCTCAACGTAAAAGCTAAACAATATATATATTTTATTTATGCTAAATTACAGATTTGTTAAGAAGAAAAAAAACTGTTATTTTACTTACGGTGCATCGCCGAGAAGGGGTCTGCTTTGCAGTGAATATCCATGGGATAGCAAAGGAAGGAAAGATAATCGACTGAGGTCGCCGTCTCGCCTTGATTATGTAGCTATAATTGAAATTAATAAAGATCGCTATCCGTTCAAAGCCCGGTGCTTCCAATGCCAGTGTACAGAAGAAGTTGTTCAACGCGCGACGAACTTTATCTCGTGCTGATCAGTCCATTCAACGAAGACACGAGGCTGGTCAGGTGCAGATCATGTCCTGCACTGGTCTCTCAAAAATCTTTCACGCAGGAACGTTAGCGTAATCAGTCGTTGAGTAAAAATTTGTTAGCTACATATTTAAGGGACCGCAAGCATTAGTGGTTGCGTCTGCTCCAGTGTCCTCTGGTGAAACTGCAGTGTAAATTCCTCGATGTGGAGAAGCGTTTCTGGTCTGAACAGTCTGAGGGGTACAGTCAGATTCGTGCGGGAATGACAGGAAAAAACATGGACACGGCGAGTGTCTCTCAGTCCCCCTCTCTTCAAGAATGGGATGTGCCTGTTAGAAGCTTTGGGCTGAGACTGAAACCCCTCTTCTCAGTGTGTCTGTTTCTAAAAGCTGCAGTCCACCGCCCCCCTCCTTCCCAGATCCCCCCTCGCATAGAGATGGATGACATGTCAGACAAAGGCAATAGATTCCAACACTTTGTGATTCGCCAACGCAAAAAGCTGGAGCACCAAATGAGGAGGTCTCTTCATCTGACACTTCGGAAGGGGAGGGATGCAAACAGGGAAATGAGGAGAGATGGGTTAAAAAATCGAGGAAATTAAAAGACAAGTGGAAAGGAAGCGGTACCACCAACGGCCAGCCATCGTGGTATTTCTAAACTGTATGTTGTCAAACTACATAAATGAATCATGTTTGAATCATAAACGTAAAAACTAAATGCATTTTGTGTCGTTAATTAGTAGTAGCCTACAACGTTGTCAAATCGAGGCTTGTTAAATGCAAGAAATTATTTAGTCTTCGTATTATTGTTTGTTTTTATTCTGTGTGTTTTTTTTTTCGTTTATAGGTATTGATGTCGGATGTTTTTATGTTGATTTCCCTCCGAATATGGGTTGTAATTAATTATAACGCGTAAAATAGTTATTATTAAACTGTCAGTCTATTGGCCTTCGTCATTTATTTTTCTGAAAAGGTTATATGCTGTTTTAGGAAATACAAAAATGTTAAAATAGCCTACTACAGAGTGTAATTAAACGCGCGTAGAAATAAACATATAAATATATAGTCTAATCTCAATTTTTGCTTAAGATTTGATTGAGCATTTGACAACTATCTGACAATAGAGACTTTATTGCATTACCGCCGCTTTTGATACTATAAAACAGTGCTACGTAGTTTGCTGACCTGTCGGATGTTATTGTGAAAAGATTGCCTTAAACATTCAGTTTAGGCTGCTGTATTTTAGGTATTTCTGTAGATGGCGCTGCTTAGTTTGCTTTATTTGACTGTAGGAGATTCTTGAAGTTAGTTTGATGGATATCCAGCAAAATACTTGATTGTTGATGACGAGATTAACTTAATGTGTGTTCGAAATGTGCAATTTTTGTTTGCTTTTTCTTACTTTTTCATTTTTTACTAAGCACAGATGTAGGTTTTAAGAAAAAAACATTGAGAACTGAGATCGATGGTTGTTGGTTTTGTCAGTTTGTTTATGCTATGCCTAGTTGATTAGTGACTGAACCTATATTCTTCACTTGACGCTTCGCATTTTCGAACTTTAATCTATCTATCTATCTATCTATCTATCTATCTATCTATCTATCTATCTATCTATCTATCTATCTATCTATCTATCTATCTATCTATCTATCTATCTATCTATCTATCTATCATCTAAGGATATAGCCTATTATAAATCACATTATATTCATATATAATAAATTATCATTTATAAATATTATTTATATGTATAATTTCTTTTTTTAAGTATTTCAAGAAAAATAATCTATAAGTTAAATCAGCTTTTAAATCCTGTTAATCATGTTTGCATTTTGTCACTTCTACAAAATTCTAAAAATTAGTTGTAAAAAAATTAATGTAAAATTAAAATCTTAATTTCCCTCCCTGTAAAATATATTTAAACAGTTAACAGTAATATTTAAACAGTTAATGATGAATTGCAATAGCATGCACTGATTTGTAAGTATTATATGCACTGCAATTATTATCATCACTATTTTTATGATTTTGTTTTTAGTAAACTAAAGCCGAAGTTGAATTAAAGCTGAATTTAAGCAGCATCTAAAACAAAAAACCTTTGATTTAAAATAAAAAAAAATCTGGAGTTGACTAAATCAGTCTCTTACGCTTTTATAAAGTGTTCGCACTGTGACCCTTGTATAGGTTCGGCTAAAAGAACAGGAGGCTATGTTATGTTATGCCTTCCGGCTAAATTTGGGGACGATTCTTCTTTTTGTTAGTATTTTTGGAGGGAGCTTCTGGTACAATATGTAACACCATGGGCTGTAATTTCACACTCGACTACACATTTCCCCTAAAGCTGCTTTTATTTCCCCGCAAGACCCCAGCTTTTTGCCTGCACTCCCCTTTACTATATTAGTTACTTCCTCTGTTAAATGATAGCAAAACTAATTGCAACTGATCACAGTGGCCATTGAATACTAAAAAACGGGTACTTAGGCTTTGTTTTTGCTGCAACATAAGATTATAGTTAATGTGGCACTTGAGTGTTTTTCTTTTTATATGCGATTATAGAGTTTTGACATAAATGAAAAATACGCAGGCTTGTCATTTTAAATAAAATGTCTTGTAATTTGTTTTTAAACTCTTTTCACACTTTGTATTCTTGTCTTTAGATCAACCCTTGATGAACAGGAGGGTTTATTTTTTAGAGAACGATTGGGAGAGAGTGATCGAACGTGTCAAACAGAGGGAGATAGACCAACCAAGAGAGAGAGAGAGAGATGCTATACTGCATGAAAGGTGCAGTGGTATTGTACATCTGTTTTGACAGCCTGTGCTATACGTCACATAAGTTTGTTAGTTCATACGAACATCCAGTGAGAACGCAGAAAATCATTTCTTTTCCACTTTCCAATATTTCTATTTCCACTTTTAAAAAGCCCATATGTTTTAGCTCATTTACTGTAATATTGTCAACGTCACCAATCGATACTTTCCACTTCACTAGACCTGCTGTCCACGCTGGTGTACTATAGCTGAATGCAAGTATATCAGTGGCTTTTACAGCTGAAATAACCCATAATGGAATTTTAAGAAGTCTGATACGCTTACTGCGATTTTCAGTCACCGGATAGTTTTAAAATAGCGTATTTGGTGGTGGTTTAAAGAGTTACTCAGTCATAACAAATACACAAAAATAAATTAAATAACTGAGAATTCGTTTTTCCCACTTTCTCAGTATTGCCAGCGTTTTTCTTCTTAGGGAAATAAGTTCAAAGTGTAAAGTGTAAGCAATCTCTGGTCAAGTTCAGATGGTTCTCACAGATATTGCTAGTTTTTGACTAAAATAATAATAATAATAATAATAATAATAATAATAATAATAATGATAATAATGATAATAATAATAATAAAAATAATAATACACATAATATGCTGTGTTGCCCACAATATAGCCTACCTAAATAAATCTAAATCAAACAAATTATTCATATTTACGATAATAATTATATAGTATATTTAGTAGTAAAACACAGTACTTCCAAGCAACAAAATTATATCCAGATAGTTGACCGCTGTAAAAACAATAAAACCGCTTTCACTACTCCACAGTCATGATATCAGCTGCGTTTTAGATTAGCCATTCATGATGTCTATAGAGTGAACAGATGGACCATCAATTCAGTTCTGTCCACAGCATCAGAGATTGATTTTGTACTTGCTTTTAATTTTACCGTAATTAATTAGATTATTACAAGTGTTATATTGATCTTCACATTTACACCTAAAAGAGAAAGGTGAATTAGCATATGATCTATGTTTTCAATTAACCGAACAGTACAATAAACTACAACAACAACAACAACAGCAGTGTGCTAATATTAATAACAACAACAATGATATAGGATTCGTACTAATAAAAACAACAATAAAGATATGATTATAATCATGTAATTTAACACTGCTAAATAAAAACTGTACGGTTGCAAAGTTGATTAAATTACTATTTTAATTATGCGTTGGGAAATCTCGAAATAATACTGCTATTATGTATTACAGTGAGCACTTCTGTCAACACGCGGGCCCAGCTAATAACACCGCATAATAACATAATCCCACAGTTGCCACTTTAAATGTACAGATTGTCAAGGCAAATGTCAGACTTTTCACCACGCAAATTACTACCGTAAGAGCAGAGCGCGCTTGCAACATTATAGGGCGGTCAATAAAGGTTAGTCGCTGGTCAAGTAGTTTACGTTTGTAAAGTACACCTACTGTAAGTTCTTACCTGAGTTGACGGCGACTCACCCCTACCGCTAGAAAATAAACACTCACACTGTTTGGCGAAACGAAAAGAGAGCCCTGCGCTTACCTGATCGACCAGAGCTGTGAGCCATGGCTTTTCCCTGTCTAATGGTCCGTTTCGTCGATGCAGCCCACTAGATCTGTCCGGCCTCCTGCGTTCCCTCCTCGGCTGGGCGTCCTGCCTCTCCCCGCTGCTTTTCACAACCTTTGACCGATCATCCAAAACTAAACGGTTTAGACGACAACAAAAAAGGAGAGCAACCTCTGCTCCACTGAGCTAGATTGATAAAGGAGGGAAAATAGCAATCAAAGCAAATAAAGCGTTGCAGGTGTTATATAAAAAGAAAGAATAAAACTTGTCTGCTGGAAGTTAAAGAGGGGACTATGAGTATGGAGATATGCTAAGAGCCGCACGCAGGCGTTTACGGTTATAGGAGACTCAAAAAGGTAGGACTTGTACCGATGATGAATATTCATGATCTTTTGAAAACATATATCGAAATGCTTATGTGTGCACTTATAAACGGATAATGTAATAATCATGAACTTGTGTGAAGTTTCCTCAGAAGTTCGCGTAAAGGCTGCATGAATAGTTGTGATAACTGATTCGTGCTGCTCATTGGCTGAACTTTAAGGTGAACCTGTTCTCGGTAGGAGGGTCTGCCGAAATAAATGAGCAAATGCTGCATTTGAATTTATGTTAATGCATTTTGAGGCAAGATTAATTTCATGCTGGTATATTAGGCAGATTTGAATTTGTGAGCGCACTGTTTATGGGTTACATTATAATTTTCATTAGAATAAGAATTTATAATTTTCCTTACTTTCAAATGTTATATATATATATATATATATATATATATATATATATATATATATATATATATATATATATATATATATATAACATTCTTGAACAAATCTTGAGATGTTTTTCTTAGTGTAAAGTACATTATGCTTGTAAATTATGTAAGGTAAACAACCTTTTTCACTTTGAAGAACTATTTGGGCAATGCACCTAAATGTTCCATGAATGAAATGTTTTGATGGAACGAAGTTAAATATACCATTAATAATTTCTTTACTTACTTTTTTTTTACTATATTCATAGTTTTGTGTTATAATTACCAGATCAATGGAATTAATGCTCAGACATTTTTACTGCATATGCAATTGCCCAAAATTAATGAATAAGTCACATAGGTGTTTCGTAAAGCTTTGAAACAAGTTAAGAGACTACAGCCACCGTACAGCCCAATAATTCTACCCGCCTTACCAGCCGGCAGAAAAAAAGGAAAGGCCAAAGTTTTCAGTTGAGCAGTCAAAGGTGTGCTTCCCTGTCACGGAAACAAGCCTGTACTTATTTGCTGGGGGAGATGGTTGTAGTTTAAACCAATGTAACGTTTGCACTATATGATCACAGTGAATTACGTGGCTTTTGTTGGAATATTGTATTTTAGTTGAGATTATAATTAAGTGTCAGTTTTAAATAGACCAGAACACACACACACACACACACACACACACACACACACACACACACACACACACACACACACGCACATATATATATATATATATATATATATATATATATATATATATATATAGGAGTTTAAGTTAAAAAAAATATCTAGGGCAACCCAGCACGGATAACTGTAAAGTTTAAAATAACATTCGAGGCTGAGGGATTAGATTTATAAAAAGAATCTCGAGAATGTCAAGTGTTGAGGTTGAACGAATCCACAACTGGTCCTTCTGTTCCGAATAGCTGCTTAGAAACATTGTAATAGTTACACGTCTCTGTCACTAGTAATTAACATTCAGGACAATTAAATTAGTCTGATGTAGAGCATTGCACATGTAACAAGGCGTCCACCCATGTTTTAATGAAATCGATTTCTCCAGTCCTCTCTGGCTTCAGTAACCACAATTCTGACGTTTTAGATCCCTAAACTCTGACAACAGCAGATTCACACAAAATGTTTGTTAACTAGGCGAAGTCGGGGCCATAATAATTTAATGTACAGTTTTATGGCTTTACCACGCTCTGTCGTACTTTTAGATATTGTAATACGACGTATTTGCAAGTTACTTGTCTGTTAATGTTCCAGTTAGTAGACTTTATCATCCCTTTCCCTCTTCTCTTGGCGATCGCTCGCGCTGTTAAGCTCTGGTGGAAGTTTCCACTCATCCGCTCCACTTATATGTGCATTTGTGATGGGTCTATACATGCATCTGCATCGAGCATTTGAACCATATTGCTCACAACATAATTCCGTGTCATTCTGCTGCTTTAATGTACTGAAGCCTTGAGTGGCCGCGCGACTGTTCTCCTCGCATAGTTGGCGTTTTGCAATAAAGCACATCTATGGTTTTTATGTCGAATCAAATGAATACGTGTTTTATTCATTGTCAGAATGTCAGTGCATAGCTGATCTACGGAAATAAATGTATGGAAAAAGTACAGATATTATTATGAAGTTTTCTCGTAGATACATTATAAGGATACTTTGTTTTGTTTTCTTTTCAAGTAACATATTATTGATTTAAAAAATCAGATTTTTGGCCTCATCTATATATTGTATAGTGTTATCTTTTTAAAGTCAAACGGTTGGATGAAAAGTTACAAAAAGAAATCAATCAGTTTTTTAATAGTTTTTTTTTTTTAGCTTTTTTGTTATTTAATAAGTTTAGATTAGAATTTTGTGTGTTTGAATCGGTTTTATGTAGGTGTATTATGAAATTTCTAAGTAAATAATTATTACTGTTTCTTAAGCATTAAAATAGTACTAATTATATATATATATATATATATATATATATATATATATATATATATATATATATATATATATATATATATATATAATGAAGAAGACAAAATATATATAATTTATAATGAAAATAGTGAAAAAATATAATTTCAAAATATGAAAAACAATTATTTGCTATATATATATATATATATATATATATATATATATATATATATATATATATATATATATATATATATATATGTATGTGTGTGTGTGTGTGTGTGTGTGTGTGTGTGTGTGTGTGTGTGTGTGTCTTTTTTTTTCTTCATTCTTCCGCTCTCTCTAATTAATTTACACTCCATAATGTAATTTAATATTTTCCTATATAATGAGTTTCCAATTGCCATTTTGTGTGTGTGTGTGTGTGTGTGTTGGACCCTGAGGCAGCCCAGGGTGCTCTCAAGCCAGCTGCCACTGTTTAAAGCAGACAGGAAACAGCTTCCACTAACACGACTGCAATATGGAAAGCAGCGACCTCCTCAATGCACCCCATGGCATGATTCTAATATCCCCCCTCTTACTCTTCACACCCACATGCAGGACGCTGGTTAAATGCTTTAATATCTTACCCTGATTTGTCTTTTATGTTTTCCAGGATCATCCTGCATGTGATGTATCAGAGATCATTTATAGGACCTTGACCTGCTTCGGCTCAGGAACATTTGATAGCATGTGCCTGGAGTGCGACAGAGAAGGACTTGGATTTCCCTGGGCTGTAGAGATGCTTTGTTTCACTGTAAATGTGTGCGTGTCTGTGTGCGCGCATATCTATTATCCTTCTGAGAAATACAGAGGCGCTCGGCTCCCACACTGGCCTCTGATCATCGCCCTGTAAATGCAGCCTGTCACCTTCAGTGGTGTAATGATCACAGAAACAGTGACCTTGATCTATAGCAAGCCATAACAGAGAAGAGAGAGCTTCTCCCACTCTCCGCACTCAGATATAACAGTGAAACACGGCATACAGGGGAAACCAGAGGAGGGTTCAGAACAGGGCCATTTGATTGGCAATAAAGGTTGTTGGAGTGTCTGTAATGGATGTGAGATCTCTCCTGTTATCATCCATTTGGATAGAGCATCGACTGAAGACCACGCCATCACAGATTGAAAACTCAGGGAGTGGCTGATTATGGTTTTATCGCATAGTCCATTACACTGGTCAACACTGCACACTGTTTCTCAGAGCTGAGGCAGTGCTGGATTAATGGGGCAGCTCTTCTGTTCTCTGCAGCCCCCTCGGACATACACACCTTTCCTTCCCTTCAGCAAGGCTTTTTGAATATGTCCCAGTTCCTGCCACGTTTAGCTTTAAATAAGTTTCACCCTCCCTTATAGTAGTAGTAGAAGGGCGCAGTGGGTTCGTGCACCCTATGAGTTCTGCACTCATCATTTATCATCCCTCTCTTTTTTTTTCCAGAAACGATGAACAATATTGTATCATAGACTGCTCTTGTGATGCCCGAGGAACCTTTTGGAAATTATATGTGCACCTCATATTATGTGAGAAATTATTTTAATTTTATTTTTATAAAGATCACTTCAATGGCATTCCAAACTTTTAAACAACAAGGCAAAAGATCTATCTGAAGATACTTGATCTGGTGAAAGATCTTTCTGAAGTTATTATCCACTTATTTGTAATTAATAGGTTTTATTTCATAAGCTACTGAAAATGTGTCTAAAAGTTTAGACGAGAATATGATTATAGCATGTATTTGCAGAGAATGATAAAATTCATTCATTCATTTTCCATTCATTTCCTTCGGCTTAGTCCCTTTACTAATCAGGGGTAGCCACAGCGGAATGAACCACCAACTTATCTATCATATGTTTTACAGAGCGGTTGCCCTTTCACAACGACAAAATGTCAATATAAAATATTCTGGTTCAGACCTTAATACTAGGAAAAAAATATACATGCATATTTTACATGTGTGCACTCACACCCAACCACACTCATATATATTTACATATATACTATTACTATATACGTTATATACAAGCACTTCTGAATGTTTAAAAAATGGATATTGTTTATCATGGTTAAGATTTGTCACTGTCAATGTAATTTATATAAAATGACAGAATGGACCTCATTACAGTTAAGGAGAAAACAACATATATTTAAATCTTTGGTGGGTAATTTACCACAGTATATTTCTAATTTGTTGAATAACTGTTTAAATACTTAAATACTTTGAAAAATACCAGATCAGCAGATATACTCTTACTTAGGATGCCATTTTTTCACACAGAGTTAAGTCGATCTGCATTCTCTAAGTATGCTCCATATGTATGGAATGAGCTTCAAGATATATTATATATGAAATATGTACTATCGCTATTATTTAAAATAGTTTAAAGGCTTTCAGTTTAGAACAGTGCACGTTTTAACAATTTATTATGATTTATACTATTTTTGTGTGTGTCTACGTGTTATGACATATTTTTTTAATTTTTTGTAGCTCTGTTCTAATCTGCCTGTCTTGACCAGGACTCCCTGGTAGAAGAGATATTGTATCTCAATGGGGCATTCCTGGTTAAATAATTAGATAAACAAATAATTATTATATACACATATTTCTTTTTCATTATTTAAGGCTGAAATCATGGACTTTTTTTATATCTCATTGAATATTTTAGATTTATCTAGAAACACATACAGTTGAAGTCAGAATTATTAGCCCCCCTGAGTTATTACCCTTTGTTTTATTTTTTCCCCATTTCTGTTGGAGAGCAGATTATTTCAACACATTTCTAAACATAATAGTTTTAATAACTCATTTCTAATAACTGATTTATTTGATCTTTGCCATGATGACAGTAAATAATATTTGACTAAATATTTTTCAAGACACTTCTATAAAGCTTAACGTGACATTTAACTAGGTTAATTAAGTTAACTAGGCAGGTTGGGGTAATTAGGCAAGTTATTGTATAATGATGGTTTGTTTCTGTAGACTATTAAAAAAAATATATAGCTTAAACGGGCTAATAAGTTTGACCTTAAAATGTTTTTTTTTCTCCAGAAGAAAAAATATTATCAGACATATTGTGAAAATTTATATTAATCTACAGTAAGATAGATTTTTCACAGAAAGAAGTCTCATGAGTTTATAACAGCATGAGGGTTAATGATAACTGATTTTAAATGTTTGTGTGAACTGTTTCTATTTAGAAACAAAGTTTGAACAAAATGGCAAATTAAATATAGTACAAACTGACCTGGCATACTGGTGAAGGGCACAAAAACAGTAGTAAAAAAAACAAAACAATAAATAATGCAGGAAGAAGTTCTCCCTGCGGAAATCTGGACGCTTTTGTGAAATCTGGTCCCCACAACAGCGAGCCCCATCAACTCATCTCCCCTTGCCAGCTTTTCATATTTAAAGCCAGTACGGGTTTAATTACCAAATGATGACAGTGTCATATGGTGCCATGATGGCACAGGATATGTGCGAGACACTGACTGACAGTGGGAAGCTGGAAAGCAAAACGGGGGAGAAAAAAAAATAGCTGAGACAGTAAAACATCTGTAATTTGCAATTCACTGGTGTTCAGTGGTTGCTCATGGATTAAAGATTAAAAACTATTGTCTAGCAGATGGAAGAGAGAGAGAGGGAGAAAGAGAGGGAAACATGGAGGGAGGGGGAACTTCTAAGCAGCCCATTTACATTTGTATATAAGCAGCACTGTTAGGATAATCACATGGAAAAAATAAGCTGTCTCCATCACACACCCAAGGCAATGCCTCCATTAGCCCCATCTCCAGATGCAGATGCTTCTGTTTTCAGATCGATTTGTGGTGACAGCATGTTGCCCTCTGTAACAGCTTGGCATATAGTTTGGTAGAAGTGCAGAGATGATATTTTAGCTATTTTCTGTGCTCAACACAGCTGTATACAGTACCAAACTTTCTTTTATATGCGCCTAGAGTAAAACGCGTTTCTCTGTTGTTGATTGAAGAGACCAGCTACACCTGATCTTTTTGTAATTGTAATTAATTAGTGTTTTGTTAGTCTTGCTGTGCCTTAATTAGTTAGCACTGCCCAGTAGAGAGAATGAGAGACCGTATACCTGGTGCACAGCAAATAATTATTAGAAATAAGCTAATGCTCTTGCTGTGAAGTTGACCCTACTTTGATATGCTCATAGGTTCCTTTGATGTATTCGGGTCCAGCCTATTGGAGCATGGCAGACCACCTGAGAGTTGTTTTCTGGACTCTGGGAGGTCACCTGACACCACTGCTCTGGAGAAGGTGCACAGCACTGGATTTCACGTGAGTTAAAGGACCTCTTCAATAAAACATCACCAGCTTTCAATGGGGCACGCTTGAGCTGCTTGTGTAATTGACTTTTTGACTTTTTCCGGATTTGCATGGACTCTCCAAAAGTAGCTCACCTGGCAAGTATCGCTCTGCTCCAAAAATACAGTAGTGCTGCTTTGTTATATTACAAATAATAAGCACTCTCCACTGGCCACAGCTACTCATACCGTCTTTTTTCACAAACTTTCTTCTTAAAGTCTGTTTACAGCAAGAACTATAAAAAATAACTAGAACCAGGGGTTGACATGATTTAGGAACCCAAAGCAAATTCCAGGAATGTGATGAAAAATTTTTTGTGATTTTAACTAAAGCAAATTTGGTGTTTACCACTACACAAGTTGTCTGTACGATAGCATAGATAGATAGTAGTATAAGGCAGTTTAGTAAATAATTAATCAACTTGGTGTTGTTTAAAAGCAGTGTTTTTTTCAGATGACATACATGCACTTCAATTTATTTGTAGTAATGTGGACATTGGTCACCAAAGTTGGTCACACTTTACAATAAAATTCCAGTAGATAATGTATTTGCTAGCATAAACTAAAAATAAACAATATGTATTAATCATTGGTCAGCATTTAATAATAGATTATTAAAATCCCAATTTGTGCTTGTTAACATTATATAATGCACTGTGAGTAAACAACGAACAGCCTTTCAAACAATAACTGACGCTAATAAAGATGAATATATACTGTAATAAATGTATTGTTTATTGTTTGTTCATGTCAGTAAATATATTTAAGGGATAGTTCATCCAAAAATGTTCTGTTATTTTACTCACTTACAGGTCATCTAGGAAGTTGGTGACTTTTTTCTTCAGTAGAATTTTTTTAGCTGAATCTTTGGTCCTTGGTGATTCATATAATGGCAGTGAATAGTGATAGTGTTTTTTGATTAAAAATAAACGCATACAAACGAGTCTAAATCAATAGCCATGGCTCCTGATGATAAAAAAAGATCTAGTGAAGCAAGATGATTGTTTCTTGTAAGAAATTAAACATTATTTACAATATTATTAGCTTACCTATGAAAGCGCAAGGGCGGGCTTGGACAGGAGGCCAGGGGCCTCATGTATCAACGCTGCATACGCACAAAAACTTTGCGTACGCCAGGTTTCACGCTCAGAATCGCTCACGTTTGGATTTACTAACAATGAACTGAACGTGGGAATGTGCGCAGCTTCACGGCAGCTTTCTGGCAGGCGTACGCACATTTTTTGTGCGTGTCTGTTTTATTTCCATTAGCGACTCCTAGAGGCAGTTGTGTTAAATTCCTCTCTACAAAGTGTCTGAGCCTTGCAATGGCAGCTGTATGAGGCGGGTTCAGCAGGTATATAAGGTTTCCATACCATACATTTGACCAGCTAAACATTAAAGCACAATTTGCAGCAGTCGCCTGTTTTCCCAATGTAATCTGAGCGATCTACCGCACGCACATTGCTATAAAGACACTATCTGAAGATGAATTTGCATACGTGAATCAGAAACATTTCCATTCAATAAATGTGCAAATAAAATATGATGCTTATTGATATGAACTTATTGATAATTCCTACTTGTCTTTCTCGTGATAAACAGTTGGCAAAATCTGATATGTAGCGGGGAAAAAAAAAGAAAGAGTTCATCAGACGCTGGATTCGAGCCGAGCTCATGTTCGAACGTATCAATTCATGATCACAAGTGTCTTACGAGCGCGCCACTGAGACTGTTAAGCGTCCTGCAACATTTTACAGATACAAACCACACTATTTCTTTATTTTAATGCACTCAGTGCGATATGTTCAGACCCAACTGTGTTGACCGCATCAGCTAAACTCTCCCACTCTATTTTTTTCTTTTGTTGTTAATTCCGGAGAACAAACTTGCAAATAACACCGCTTTTCTCCGGTCTACCTCCGAAAGCAGCACCTCCAATTCACATTCTGTTCAAAGTTTCTCTTTTTGCTTGCTTTTGCCGTTGCTTTTTCGTTGGGTTTTGCCATTAGCATAGTCATTAGCATATTCATACGGGGGAGGAGGCAGGGAGGGGTTTGTGCTCGTGCATGTTGCGCTCAGTTTCACGTTCATTCAGATGTACAAAAGAATATGCGTGAGATTCGGCGTACGCAGTGTTTCATACATCTGAAATTTTTTCTGCGTACGCACATTTACAGCTTTGTGCGTACGCAATGTTTTAGTAAGATTTCCACGCAAGTCTTCGTACATGAGGCCCCAGGTGATGTGGTTTGTTGATGGAAATTGGTAAATGCATTACTACCTCTTGTTTTTATCATCAAAAGCAACTGTACTTTTGTAAAGAAAAAATCTGTTCAAGAGCATAATGAGATGTTTTAACATCTAAAAATCAGTGGAAGTGAATCAAACCGGAAGCCTCGAGCCAAAAAGATCATGCATGAAGAATAAGATCAATATGCTCCAAAAATTTTAAACTGTCTTCCAAATGATGTGAGAGAGCCCTTAAATTTATATTTTAAAAAGTACATTAAGACATACTTCTTTAAAGTTGCATACAAACATGATAGCTTGTGAAGTGTGAAATAAAAAAAGTTTATATATAACTATAAAGTGTGTGTGTGTGTGTGTGTGTGTGTGTGTGTGTGTGTGTGTGTGTGTGTGTGTGTGTGTGTGTGTGCGCGCGCACACACACATACAGACTTTACTATTATTACTACTACTACTACTACTACTACTACTACTACTACTAATAATAATAATAATAATAATCATCATCATAATAATAATAATAATCATTCAGTCATTCATTTTCTTGTCGGCTTAGTCCCTTTAATAATCCGGGGTCGCCACAGCGGAATGAACCGCCAACTTATCCAGCAAGTTTTTACATAGCGGATGCAATCCAGCCACAACCCATCTCTAAGAAACATCCACACACACACATTCACACACACACACACACACACACACTCATACACAACGGACTATTTAGCTTATTCAATTCACCTGTACCGCATGTCTTTGGACTGTGGGCGAAACCGGAGCACCCAGAGGAAACCCACGCGAACGCAGAGAGAACATGCAAACTCCACACAGAAACGCCAACTGAGCCGAGGCTCGACCCAGCAACCTTCTTGCTGTGAGGCGACAGCACTACCTACTGCGCCACTACTTCGCCTAGAAATAATAATAATAATAATAATAATAATAATAAAATTATTATTATTATTATTATTATTAAAAAGTTTAAGCAAAGTTATTTTTTTTTTGAACTAATATAAATCTCTCACAGTCACTGTCAAGATTATGCAATTGTCTAGATAAAATCTTGAGGTGTCGTGGGTAAAAGATATTCCAGACTACACGTTGCTTCACAATCAATCATCACATGACGTCTACGTCGTAGACGCGTTCCGTCATCAAGAAGATGCATTCATTACAAATGTCTCTGTAATTGTCTATTGAGTGTTTCCCACAGATGGTAGTTTACCCCACCCATATACATTATGTGCATATGTGTGTGTGGGTTTTTCTCAACGAAAACAGTGGATAAAGTAGATATCCCCACGATATCCTACAGCAAGCAAATTGTGGCAAATTTAGGAAAAAATCATGTAATCTGAATGAGTCTGTGCATGACTATAATGATAGCTATATTAGCTTCCACACAATTGCACAATTGCAATTTACTTATTGTATGTGTGCAATGCAGTTTTGTCATCTGCTGCTTTATATGTTCATACTCCTTAAATTCTGATTATTTTAAGTTTTTATCATTCATCTACTGGAAATAATTGATCTGAAATGTATGGCTCTTGACAATACATTAAAATCGGGTGAAATTAAATGATTAGTTTGTGCAAGAAACTGAAAATTGTTTACAATTTATTATGCCAATTATTTATTTACTGGCAAATCCTGAGAGCATTCATGATACGATGGAGCTTTTTGAAAAGGTTGTCATTTTTAAGTGAACTATACCTTAAAGGCAGTGGTGCTTAACCCTGTTCCTGGATATAATAATAATAATAATAATAATAATAATAATTCTTTTCATTTATATTGCGCTTTTCTGGACTCTCAAAGCGCTTTATACATCAGTGGGATCTCCTCATCCACCACCAGTGTACAGCATCCACCTGGATGACGTGACGGTAGCCACCAAGCCGCAACACCACACACCAGCTGGTTATTGGATAGAAGACAAAGTGATGAAGCCAATTATCATATGGGGATGGTTAGGACAGAGGCCAGTGGGCAAATTTGGCCAGCATGCAAGGGTTAAACCCCTACTCTTTTTTTTTTTTTTTTAATGACATCCTGTGATTTTTTTAATGACCACGGAAAGTCAGGCCCTCTGTCATCCTAAAGACTGCGCTCACTGAGCAGTATAGAGTCCCCATCAATATACTGGGGCGTTAGGACCCACACAGTCTGCATGTTGAGCGCCCCCTGCTGGTCTCCCTAACAACACTTCTGGCAGCAACCTAGCTTTCCCATGTGGTCTCACATCCAGGTACTGACCAGGCACAGCCCTGCTTAGCTTCAGTGGGCCCACAAAGGAATAGAACACACACTTAAAGTACATTCTGTTTCTTAGAGTTGCAGAGAGCTAGCTGCCTGCTAAGATCTACTTTCCTGCAGATTTGAGCCCCAACCTTGATCAAGCACACCTTCCTGAAATTATCAAGTACTGTTCATGTCCTAATTAATTAGTTCAGGTGTGTTTGATTAGGATTGGAGCTGAAATCTGCACGAAGGTAGATTTCCAGGAACAGGGTTGAGGACCCCTACTTTAAGGTATGACACCTGAAATGCTTGTTGGGGTAGATGCATAACACATATGTGGAGAAATAAATCATTTATCAAAATATCTTCATTTATGTTTTACAGATGAAAGAATCCCCTGCAGCTTTGGAATGACATGGGTGAGTAAATGATGACAGAAGTTTGATCTCTTTAATGTATTGTAAAAGGCCTCTCAGACAAAATATAAGATTGTAGAATATCGTCTATAGAAGCAGAATGTACTTTAACCATGTTGGTGAAATTTAATATAGTCAAACTATTTTAGCCATCTTTGGAGTGAAGAGACGAATCATTTCTGTTCTGAATGGATGATTCAGTGCCAGAGGTGAATCATACAGGGGTTTGTCTGTATTTGTGCCTTTGATCCCCCTCTGATAGTCCCTACAACGCACAACATCTGTCACGCCGCGTGCCACAATCGCTCACGTAGAGCTTTAGGTGATGCTGCTGTATGGCTATTCCTGCCACACCGTCCACATGGGCATCCCCAACGCCAGCGCTCATTAGCAGGCAGGTGGCGTTAGAGTTTTCGACTGGGGCCGAGACGAAGAATAGAACCTGGCAAACCGGGTTGTACGTCCGCATTGGGTAATCCCCGCCAGATTGCCAGGATATCAGAAGTGACATCACAAAGCCAACAAAAATTAGCATCCCTAATGGTCTGCCAGGCTAAACATTATTCTTCATGATGAGAAGCAGTCATGCCTGCCCAGGGCTCCTGATGATTTGGCCAAAAGCAGTGGAGGCCCCTAAGCTCTCAGCTCCAGCCAAAAAAACCAACAGGCTCTATATTCTCCAACCTATAAAGATCGGTTCAACTCACAATCGAAAATCCTGAAGAAAATCCATGGCTGATTCCTATTATTCTGCTGATGATATCCAGTTCTAGAAGGTCCTTGGATGTTAGTGTTCTGTAACCTATACTGAAGAGCACATACTGTGGTGTTACTGTTGGGCAGAAACCTTTAATATCCAAAACCACCACTATTCAGGACATGGGAAAATATCCTAAATTCCTAAATGATTAAATATTTGATTTTGATTTGATTAGCCACTTGCATATATTATCAAATTTTTATCATCTACCAAAATGAAGCTCAATTGATTAAACAGTATCAGCTTGATTTGAATGTATTTAATGTATCATAGGATGTTGTAGTGAATGAAAATTGTTTTGTAGGCATAATTTATAGATTAAACCTAAAAATGACAAGTCTGTCAGATGAAGAAGAGCCGGAGTCGGAGATTCAGTTAAAACTAAAGTTTACTAAAGATAGTTTGCAGTTTCATCAGCAGAAGCCAGCTTCAACACTCACAAATGAGTTTGTCAACGTCAACAGTTATACTCTTACATAACGTCATTAACTGTGTCTTACATATAGGGGTTTTAAAGGGGTGGTCCAGAATGTAATTTTATGGCTTAGTTGTGTTAATAAGATGCAAAGCAATGTGTGCTCATGTTTCACTTGAAGGAAATCATGTTATTTTTTCAAAAATCTCACTTTGATTATACACAGCTACTCAGCTAACATGAAAACGGCTGTCATATTTCCTAGTTCCTCTGAAAGGCCCGCCCTCAAGTGACTCTGACTGGTCATCGTCATAATGTGCTAGGATTCTCAGATCAGCTCCGCGTCACGCCCAGACAAGCACGCGCGTTTTGTGTAAACAGCCAGTCAGTCAGTCAGTCAGTCAACAGGGTCTGTAACGGGTAAAAATTGGATGCGGCTCCTTTAAGAGTGTTTGTTTGCCATTGTGTGTGTGTGTACACTATGAACTATCTGTAACACGAGAAGCGCATGTGTGCGGGACCGATGTTTATTTTTATTTTTCTCTCATGCTCGAATTAAGTTATTTTCTGTGGTGATGCTGGTGACAGAATAAAGCACACGATGTGGGATGAGACCTGTGTGAGCCTTGATGGATTATTTTTTGCTGTTACACTCCAGTTGGGAGAGCATTACTGTATTTTTTTTTCTAATCAACGCGTTACAGGACGTCTTCCACGCATATCCGGAATATGCCTGTGTAAGTGAATCGTTCACATATCTTTTGCGACTTTATTGTCTGAGATTTAAAACGCATGTAAAAGCTGCCGTCTCACACAGAGAGATGCACGTGCTGTGCGTGCGTGCGTGTGTGTGTGTGTGTGTGTGTGTGTGTGTGTGTGTGTGTGTGTGTGTGTGAGTTTACAGTGGTTTGACTGATAAATATGGATTTGTAGCTAAATCGTTGGTGGTGGCGAACATTATTTCCAGTTGTTTACATCTTTGTTACAACATACTGTTAAGGCTAGACACTATACATGTCATGATCAATTTTAACAAATAAAAACACTTACAGGTCGTGGCTCAGAGTTCACAGCGTCTGCTTGCTCCATCTTTGAGGAGATTTTAGCCGAATCCAGCACTGAACTGGGAGAGATTCTGGAAGCTGTTTTGTCAAATCATGTTTGCTATGTATTTTATAATTCTCTGGAACATAATTAATATTGAACTGTAAGCACTTCTGTCTTTGGGTCGTGTAATTTGGAAGCCCAAATACAGAAACAGAGAAGCTCTGTGGAAACAGCAGGATGGCATTTTCTCCCTCTGCTTTAACGTTACAGCGCCTCTGGCTACGGCCCTTAGCTGCTCAGTGTGGGTGCGCAGTAAACGAACCTTTGTGATGTCACAGGGGGCGGAAGTATTTTTTGTAGTCCCCAAAATTCGTACATTGTTGGGTTTGCTAAGCTAACTCTGTAAAAATCAAGGTCTCCCTTGGCATTGAACTTAGAGCATTTTACATTCAGAGATGCTGTTTATGTTCACACAGCTACATTACACATCAACTAAGGTTTAAAATATGATATCGTAGTGGACCACCCCTTTAACCCGATTGGTTAAAACACAGATAGACTAAGAAAATTTCCACGTGGGTGCGTGCATACAAATGTCAGACACCCACTAGACTGTTCAGAGCTGACCCCAGACCTGTGAAAAGGTCCACAAAGGAATAGAACACACACACACTCAAAGTACATTCTGTTTCTTACTCAAAGCTGAGTACTCTCAGCCATCTTTATCAACACCGATTTAATCTACCCCGAAACTGGCAGCTTACATACAAAGTGATTAACTTTGTAAAAGATTTAACACAAAAAATGGCAAACATCACTTTAGACATAATTAACACACAGAAAATAACAATATGAACAGTTGCTTCCAATTCTTCAAGAGTCCAGCTCCACTCAAGAGCTCTCTATGACCTCTTACCTGGCTGATTAGATCCTGAGAAAACAAGTCTTTTGGCATAAAGAAAAAAAAATGACACACATATTATTCTAATTTTACTCTGAAGTGGGATGACACTAACGTCATCATATAGTATATGCCCTTAAACATTCAACTTTATTAATAATCATAAAGAATCATTTAATCTTTTACAGTGCGTAAGTCAGTTGCTAATTTCACTTTTTCATTGACATCAAACATGTAAAAGATGACAAGAAAATATTGATCAAAAACAATTAAAGTTTGATGCTTTTTTTCATTCATAATGTGACAATTTTTTAGGAGTAAAAAATAAAAAAAGCATAGTCTGAACCAGGCGTAATGATGCTCTTCAAATATATCCTTTCCCTTGCATTGCAAATAACCAAAGCAAATTCACAGTTTTGTAGTGAATACTATAATGATGTTCTTTTTTTAAATGCACATTTTGAAACCGGTGGTATGCAAATTGCAAAGTTGCATTTTCAGGCTTCCTGAAACATTGACTTGAATCTTTCCCAATAAATTATATAAAATTAGATGCACATTAGATTATATAAATTAGATACATTATTACAAAAAAAAAAACTGCAATGCAAGTTTTATGATAAAATATACTATGCAAATCATTAGTTAAATGATACTGATTTTCACCTTTGATGCGTAAATTATACTCAGGTTTTTATTTTTCTCTTTCAGAAGTTGAAAAAAAGGATATTGATTGCATAAATACAGATGGGCCTTTAGTTTTTTTCCTATTGTTGAGCTGCAGATTGGAAATGATCATATTTGAATCAGCCAGCATGAATGTGCTTTCTAATAATACCAAACAATAAATGTGTAAAAAAAATCATTTATTTCATTCTTTTCTTTCCGGCTTAGTCCCTTCATTAGTCAGGGGTTGCTACAGCGGAATGAGCCATCAACTTATCTAGTATATGTTTTACGCAGCGAAGGCCTTTCCAGCAGCAACCCAGTACTGGGAAAAACCAATACATACTTATTCACACACATACACTAAGGACAATATTAGCTTACCCAATTCATCTATAGCGCATAGTCTTTGGACTTGTGGGGTAAACCCACACAGACACGGGGAGAACATGCAAACTCCACACAGAAATGTTAACTGACCCAGCCGAGGCTCGAACCAGCAACCTTCTTGCTGTGAGGTGACAGCGCTACCCATTGCACCACCACGCCGCCCTGTGTAAAAAATCACTATAAAAATTCCTTGATTTTGGCCAATTTAAAGTAAAATGATACAGACAAGAACATGAAATGCCAAAATTTGTGTTAAATTAGACATTAAAGAAAAAAAAATCCACACTAAAATCTGAAAACTGACCATTATAAAGGATCTTTTTTGTCTTATTTTGGCTCAGTGGTTATGGAAGTATTGTGTTTTGTGCAAATATCACAACAAGCTCTTTTAAACATTTAATTGGTTAAATATTTGCTTGATCCTGAAAAAGAGTGACCAATAACAGTGATTCATGAAAAAAAGAAATATGGAGATACAAGTTTTCTACCCGACAGCGATGATATTTAAATGAGACTCCTACCTGGCACTTGATAACCAGTGAAAAAACACCTTGCCTCAATTTAGAAGCTGAAACCAAGAAAGATCAATGAGTGGCGAAGGGGAGAGTGGCAGATTTAATTAATTACTGCATATTAGAATGTTTGTTTACAAAAGTGAACAGTTACAAGGGGCCTGATGGTAATTAATTTAAAACGTACTTCCCCCTGTCCCTGCCTCGCGTCGGCACTAGACATGGCTGTTTCATGGCAGGTAAGTCTACGTCTCATTGGATTTCCATCAATTGCTCAAAGGTGTGTTTGAAAACAAAGATGCATGGTACGCAAATTAGCCTGAATGTTAACATGATTGCATATTAAGAAATCTAATTAGTATTCGAGGGAATCAAAAGGGAAGCACGGCATTTTGTGATAATGCATATCTGAAAGGAAAGTTTCTGAATATTCTTTTTCACTCTCTATATAGTGTTTAAATGCATCTTAACTTTTTGAATGGATCCCTGAATTCTTTCACTGAAGATGACTTTATTTCCCCAACAGTGTCACAGTGGTTGCATGTGTGTGTATTTTCAGGAGGTCTCTCGAGGTCCCCGTCCAGGACAATGATGTATTTAAGTCCCCTAAGAGGTCAGTTGGACTCTGTCCAGCACATCACCTGCAATCAATAGTGTTGGTAAACCAGGCTCAACTGAGTGGCCATGAAGACTCCCCTTATAAACACGCTCACAGAGAGGCCGGCATGGCCCATTGCTTTGCTAAAACCGCAACCAGCATCCTCCTGACACACACACATAACACATGCCACCACTCTGAAAACAAGTGTTGATGACAAAGAGAAGAAAAATAACAGCAACTCAGCGGTAAGTGGAGAGCCTCCAGGTGATGAAATCCTCTCTAAAATGACACAAAATTGAGGCAAATTGACAGCTTTGTGAATGTGTTTATAAATGCTGGTGGGTGGCGCTGCTGCGGAGTACTATGTGGCTGAAATAATTTATTTTTATTTTGTTTTAATTTGCAAAACGGCTTAAATATATCTTGGCAATTTTTCTGTCAGCTTACAGAATCACTTAAGTGACATGCAAGGTTACGGTAATATAACAATATGCTTTTTTTGTAAATTTTGTGACTTTTCAGGTCTATTTAGTGATAATTGGGAGTCATTTGTTTTAGTATTAAGAATGGCAGTGTGTGTGTGTGTGTGTGTGTGTGTGTGTGTGTGTGTGTGTGTGTGTGTGTGTGTGTGTGTGTGTGTGTGTGTGTGTGTGTGTGTGTGGGTTTGTGTGTGGGTTTGTGTGTGGGTTTGTGTGTGTGTGTTTATACACAGTTGAAGTCAGAATTATTAGCCCCCTTTAATTTTTTTTTCTTTTTTAAATATTTCCCAAATTATGTTTAACTGAGCAAGGAAATTTTCACAGTATCTCTAAAAATATTTTTTTCTCCTAAAGAAAGTCTTATTTGATTTATTTCGGCTTGAATAAAAGGATTTTTAAATAAAAAAAAGAGGTCAAAATTATTAGCTATATATTTTTATTCAATAGTCTACAGAACAAAACAACATTATACAATAACTTGCCTAATTACCCTAACCTGCCTAGTTAACCTAATTAAGCTAGTTAAGCCTTTAAATGTCACTTTAAGCTGTATAGAAAGTGTTTTGTAAAATATTATTTTAAATATTATTTACTGTCATCATGACAAAGATAAAATAAATCAGTAATTAGAAATGAGTTATTAAAACTATTATGTTTAGAAATGTGTGGAAAAAAATCTTCTCTTCGTTAAACAGAAATGGGGGGGGGGTAAACGGGGGCTAAAAATTCAGGGGGGCTAATAGTTCTGATTTCAACTGTACAATTTGTGTGTGTGTGTGTGTGTGTGTGTAAATATGTACACACACACACACACACACATACATATATATATATATATATATATATATATATATATATATATATATATATATATATTATAAATTATATATATTATTATATTATAAATTATATATTTTATTATATTATAAATTATATATTTTATTATATATTTATTTATTATAAATAAATAAATAAATATATATATATATATATATATATATATATATATATATATATATATATATATATATTTTTTTTTTTTTTTTTTATTATTAATTTCTCAGTGAGTATGGGTAATATATATTAGCACATTTAAACAAAACAGATTTATTAAACAGATACATGTATTAAAATAATATTTTAGTCACAAAACATCTTTAGAAATGAAAAGATAATGCATTTAAATTCGTGCAAAATATTGCAAAAAAAAAATGTGAAAAATACAAACTACAACTTTTCTTTTTGAAAACATTACTTAATATTTTTCCCTAACATATAAATTTGGGCTACTAATTTTGTGATCCATTATTGTAAAAGCTCCAGATTTGGCATCAGTGCTGACTAAAGTAATATATACACACAAATATAATCATGTAAAGCATCCTAGAAAATATTTATTTAAATGAGAGATTTGTGGGTGGTGGATATATACACAGCACTGTGTGTTTGCGTGTGTGAGTGTGTGTGTGTGTGTTATAAATATGTATTGTGAATAAAGAAAAAAAACAACAGAGTCTGTAGAAAAATGCATTTCGGTTTAGATTTTTGCAAAATGACAAGCTAAATATATGTAACAAAATATATAACAAGGCATACATGTATTTTAAGCAATATAGCAATATTCTTTGGACACAGGACTACTTGAATAATATAGTATAGTATAGTAGTAGGATTACCATAATAAAACATGCTATAATATATACTACTAAGGCTTTAATATGTGTTTATATAGGTTAGTGATAAAGTAATTCATTTTTTATACAAGTTTTCCAAAATGTGTCTGTCCATACTACACTGGAAAAAGTTTGTAAACCACTGCTGTGTAAACATGCCCTTAATGTACAGTTTTCATTTATCAGTTTATTGATATCTGTTTTTGCTTTGGCTCATTATGATAATTACAATTTTTCTGTATTTTTGTTTTCCATTTTGCATTTAGCTTCGCTCTGTCATACAGCACAGGTTGCATGTTCTCCTCAACGCCCAGGTGAACTAGGTGCACCACTTCAATCAAGCTTCACTATTGGCTTTGAGAGTCATCTAAACCCAGACAACAAAAGCAAACGCTACAGTGAGTGTCTCTACTGTAAGTGGCTTTTGAAGAATTGGCACAGTCATCTGGCGAACACCTCACATCTCTCACAAACAAATGAAGGCCTGGCGCTTCAAAGTGAGATTGATATCTCTCTCTGAACTTCAACCAGAATATTCTGAATATTGAGAGAGGTGCAGTCCTCCCGCGGGACCATTGAGGCGCCTCTTCCCTCCCTCGTTCCGCCAAACGGGGGGAAAAAAAGATTGCCCCTGTAGATCCTCCGTGTTCATCAATATTCACTCATTCATCGTGAGCCATGGCAGCTCAAATCTGGCCTGGTGCTGCTGAATGGATGACCTGAGGATGCGCTTTGTTGCCACAAGGGTATCTGCGATTGAGATTTAGGGTTAAAACAGAACAATATACAATTTTTATGAACTATACATTTCATGCTCTGACAGAAAACTTTTCAATTTGCTTGGTAAGTTCTTAAGAGTAGCCAGCCGTTTAATACGTGGAGAATAGAGGTGTCTATATTGTTCTGCTTTAAGACTGTTTGCTTGTTCATTTTTTTATGGAAGGTTTTAAGGAAGGTATATATATATATATATATATATATATATATATATATATATATATATATATATATAAAATGAAGTATAAAAGAAGCTAATTAGACCATAAAAATGTGTATGGTTTTATGAAATTATTTTTATTAGTTGACAATGTACCATTTTAAATGACACAAACCGTTTTTTTTTCTTTTGTTAATTACAATAAAAACTACACTGTAAAAATCAGTGTAATAAGTGAAATAATTACAAATTAGTTGAACATATTGTTTTTAATGTTCACTCAATTTCTCTCTTTAAAATATTACCTTTTTGACTTTCAATTTCAAAGGATTATCATATTTGCTGTTTTTTATTCATTTATTTATTTATTTTTTGTTGTTGTCAAGTCAACTTTTGCCATACAGGGGTGCGTTTCTATAAAGCATATATAAATCATATAAATAAATAAATATATAGGCTATTTATTAAAAAATTAAATTGAAAATGAAATGATAATGATATCAATAATAATAATAATAATAATAATAATAATAATAATCATAATAATAATAATAACAATAATAATAATAGTAATAATAATAAATATTAATAAAGATACTTAATAAATAACCCACTATAAATTAAAAGCATTAACGAATGTCCTTTGTTTTCACAAGCTTTGGAGATGGAACAAATTCCACTTTTAAATCATAGGTCACAGCTGTGTTCAAAATGACATCAATGTTTTCAAAGTGCACTATGAAGGGAGCGCAATTGTAAACATGAAGATCGTTGAAACTGAACTGTAAATAGGTTGAAAGAAAATTACACCTAAAAAAAATGACTTTAATGATTTAAAAAATTGATATATTCCAAGTTTAAATGTTGGAATATCCTAAATGAATAGGGCATAGGGGGGATAAATGGGAATAGTGCACAGTCAGGAACTATGTTTCTAACTACAGCTTTGGAGGTGTAGTTGCAAGCATACAAGTTTGCGACGCAGTTTGCGAATGTTCGTTGAAACAATGAATTTGGGAAATGCCAAATCAACGAACTATGTTTGTAACGACCAAACTTGTGACCTTAATTGGCTTACAATAGTTTTCGGAAAAGCACCCCAAACTGTTGATTGCATTTGAATAGAACCCTCCATTTAACAGTTTTAAAAGTATTGTTGCAGACATACAGTTGAAGTCTGAATTATTAGCCCCACTTAATTATTAGCCTCTTTGTTAATTTGTTTCCTAATTTCTTGTTTAACATAGAGCGGACATTTTTCAACACATTTCTAAACATAATAGTTTTGTTAAATCATTTCTAATAACTGATTTATTTGATCTTTGCCATGATGGCAGTAAATAATATTTGACTAGATACTTTTCAAGACACTTCTATACAGCTTAAAGTCACATTTAAAGGCTTAACTAGGGTAATTAGGTTAACTAGGTAATTAGACAAGTTATTGTATAATGATGGTTTGTTCTGTAGACTATCAAAAAAAATACAGCTTAAAGAAGCTAATAATTTTTACCTTAAAATGTTTTTTTTTTAAATTATTATTAAAAACTGCTTTTATTCTAGCAAAAATGAAACAAATGACTTTCTCCGAAAGAAAAAAATATTATCAGATATACTGTGAAAATGTTCTTGCTCAGTTAAAAATAATTTGGAAATGTTTAAAAAAGAAAAAAAACAAACAAAGGGGGGCTAATAGTATAATATAATATGTCTTTAGAACTAAGCCTAAGGAAGAATATTGGATAATGTAAACCAAAATGTTTTTGCTCTTCTTTTATTAATTGTAATTTTTCCAGCGTGTTTACAGTGTACTGTATTAAATACTGACTAAATATTTAATCATAATACAAGCAAAATGCTTTTACACATAGTCAGTTTTCCTTCTCTGTTAGTGTCTCCACAGCTGTGACTTTATCTGTGCATCTTCCTGAACGCTCCTTAGTAGGCAAATGAAGAGGCAAACACAGATGATGATGATCATGGTCATGACATAGATCGTTGAACCACTTGGGAAGGAATGGCAGCTGAAGGTGAGAAAACCTTAAGATTTTCATTTAGAATTTGTGCTGCCCAATTTGTTGATGTTTACACAGTGTAAAAACAATCTTGCATATAAAAATGTGGGATGTGGGATTAGGCAGTTAAGGACAACTCAAAATTTAGATAACCTCAAGTTGTTCAAATCTTATATTAATTTCTCTCTTTTGTTAAATACAAAATAAGATATTTTGGAGAATATTAGTAATCAAACAGCTTTGATTGTAGCCACTGACATCCAAAGTTGAAAAAGGCAAAGGCAACCATTAACGATTCAAAATAACTTCTGTAGTATTCAACAAAACAAAGAAACACACAAACGTTTGGAACAAGTGAAATTAATGAGTTAATGATGAACAAATGTTCATTTTTGAGTAAACTCTCCCTTTAATATTATGTTGATTGCAGTATAAATTTGCCTTTAATCCCTCTACCAAATGGTTGACCATGTTTTGACTGTTTTAAATAATGACTGTTAAAGTCATCTAAAGAATGACTGTTTTAAATAATGGCATACACACAGCATTGTTGGTTTAATAAAAATAAAAATAAAAACATCCTGTTGCACTTCTACACTTGATTTTGGATTAATTGTAAAAAACAAACAAACAAACAAACAAACAAGGAAACATGTTACATGAGAATCTGAAATATTTTATGGGATACTTAAAAAAAAGATGATTTAGTATTCAAAAATGTTTTATTTTGAATATTTTTAAAATAAATTGGTCTTACACTTTATATTTTCAGGTTTTTCATTGTATATATTAAGTCCGGTACCATAAACTGACATATCAGCCATGAGGCAGATATTTTAGAAATTATAGAATGTGTTGAGAAAAAAATCCATCGAGTGTGTTTTCTTTTCTTGATGGGGTAGTTAAAGGGTTAAAGCACTGAGGTGTTTCTTATTTGATCTTTTTACTAAATTATTTACTTTATTGTTACAGACTGAACCATAAAGACTTAAAATTAACCACATCAATCAGGACCGTTTTAGCAATATTTAACACAACTTCTTAAAATTTCATGTACATTTTGATTATGCATAATTAATAATACTATTACTAAATCATAAGACGCACATATATTTTTCTAGACTGTGATATGTATTTTGTTACAATCCACTGAAGAAAAGGTGTGTGATTTTGTATGAGTCTGACTCCATAATTGCATCCATTAGTGTATTCTGTGAATCTTGACTCAATGAAACATCACATATTAAATTCCATTTAAATTTTAATGTAAACAAAAATGTGTTGTCATCTTGGATTTAAATGTATATTTTCTCTGATTGAAATTACAGTTTTATTTAAAGCACTGAAAAAAGCTCTGTAGTTTTGTTATTTTTATTATTATTATTATTATTATTATTATTTTATTTATTAATTAATTTTTTTGCTGACTAAACCACAAAAGGAACTAAAATAAAACTGTTAGCATTGATTCAACTAAAACACCAGGTTTTAAATTCCAGATGAATTTTCATGATAAATTAACTGACTGAAGTAGATTAATGAAATATTTTAATAAATAAATTGCTTAAACTGTGATTTTTATAATAAAACAAATCTGAACCACAGAGGCCAAAAGAATTAAACCTCTGTAGCTGTACTCTGGAAATCCCTACTCCAGGTAAACCACTATTTAAAAGATTACAAATGAGTTCTAATTAAAGTATTATTAAGCAGTTCATACAACAAAAAATATCCCAGAAAGCATCCAATCAGCGCGATCATGACTGTTACGACGTAACTACTCTACAATGATCTCCCCTCAGAGGTAAATCAATAATTGCTTTGCTATAAAAGAGTGTTTTGTCCTAAAATGGTAATTAGTGAGGGTCTTGACCTCCCTCATGGCATCTCTCCGTCGCCCATCTGAGAGCCAGGGCATGTCCAGGGCTGACACTTAATGACGCTAACATTACACACTCGCTGAACATTGTCGGGCTTTTGTCTTCATTCACATCGAAATGAAGTTCTTGGGGCCCACGTTTATCAATCATGGTGGGGCTCCAGCTGTTCGCCAGTCTTTGGCCTGACTTCAACAGCCGTGCTTACAAATTGTCTCTGAATAGTGTGGAGCTTTGCCTCCCCACCCTTCCACCCCCTTTTTGTCACTGTCTCCTGACAAATGTTCCACTGCAGCTTTTCCCAGACATGGCCGACCCTGCCTTCTGCTCCTCGCCATTCAGAGGGGGGTTCTGGCCTCATGTTCCTCTCGCTAGATGAGCCTGGTAATCTGCAGTGACGATCAGACTCTTTCTTGGATGAAAAGTGGTGTCATTTTGGTTTTGGGTATCAAGAAGGACTTGGAGTGAGAAGATTAAATACAACCCCCCTAAAAGTTATGAGTAAGTATTATGAATGAGCTTATGATAAATTAAAGGGTTAGTTTATCCAACTATGAATTATTCATCATTAAAAACACAAATTAAGGCATTTTTGATCATATCTAAGAGATTTTAGTTTGTCCATTGAAGTTCACCCAAAATTATGATGCTTCAAAAGATTTTTTTTTTTCTCCTGTGGAAGTTAATGATTATAGGTTTCTTCAAAATGTCTTTATGTTTAACAGAATAAAGATACTTATAAATGTTTAGAATCTCCTCATCTCTTCCTCCACCACCATATGAGCAATATCACACGAGTAGCAGTGCGATATGGCTGTATTAATGATTATAGGTTTCTTCAAAATGTCTTTATGTTTAACAGAATAAAGATACTTATAAATGTTTAGAACTAATTTTTGGAGAGTAAATAAATATATATTTATTGTGTCTATCCCTTTAAATCTGCCAAGACTTGAATTCCCCAAAACAGATAAGAATGTGTTGATTAGATTTTTAATATGTATTAACTCAGTATTACAGGTTTAATAGTCATTTTTAAATATTGTATTAGCTCACGATTTTGTGTTGCTGTATAGAATATAACAGGCGCATTCAAAAGTAAAAACTTTTTCTTCATAGAGCAACTGATCTTTAACAATATTCAATAAACCTTTGAGGTTGTTTTGACTCCATCAAATAAAATATTTAGCTCTGCCTACTCTCATATAATGCATCAAAAACTTTAAATGAAAGTTTTATATAATTTGTGAAGTTTATAATTTTGATTTTGTCATGCACAATGCTCCATGGGTAAATATTTTTCATTTTCTTCTTCTTTGGTAAAAAACCATTTAGTTTATAGTCTTTATGTCTGATTTTCATATACAGTATTTCATATGCTGATGATTTGGTCCATGATTCTAATGTTTTTTATGAATACTTTTTTAAAAGCTCCTATGGTAAATGCAAAAGGGAAAAGTTGTTCTGCAACAAATTCCACTGAAAAAGGGGACAGGAACGAATGCACTCTATAGTTTAGTTTGGCGGTTTTCATTTTAACAGGGTGTGCAGTTTACAGAAAGCGGCCAATAGAAACAGCATTTAATAGGGCATCTATGTATGTTTATACATACAGTTGAAGTCAGAATTATTAGCCCCACTTTGATTTTTTTCTCCTTTTTTAAATATTTCCCAAATCATGTTTAACAGAGCAAAACAATTTTCACAGTATGTCTGATAATATTTTTTCTTCTGGAGAAAGTCTTGTTTATTTTATTTTAGGTAGAATAAAAGCAGGTTTTAATTTTTAAAAAAGCATTTTAAGAACAAAATTATTAGCCTCTTTAGGGCACTTTATTTTTTCGATAGTCTACAGAACAAACCATCATTATAGAATAACTTGCTTAATTACCTTAGCCTGCCTAGTTAACCTAATTAACCTAGATAAACCTTTAAATGTCACTTTAAGCTGGATAGAAGTGTCTTGAAAAATATCTTGTAAAATATTATTACTGTCATCATGGAAAAGCTAAAATAAAACAGTTATCAGAAATGAGTTATTAAAACTATTATGATTAGAAATGTGTTAAAAACATCTTCTCTCTGTGAAACAGAAATTGTGGAAAAAATAAACAGGGGGGCTATTCAGTAGGGTTAATAATTCTGACTTCAACTGGATATATATTCCTTACATTTATATAGCGCTTTTCTAGACACTAAAAGCGCTTTACTCATTGGGGGGAATCTCCTCATCTCTTCCTCCACCACCATATGAGCAATATCACACGAGTAGCAGTGCGATATGGCTGTATATCGGCGGCCGAGTACCTTAGTGCCCCCACCATATCGCACTGCTACGAGTGTGATATTGCGTTTATACAACAGTTTGACGGCGCCTCCCACCAGTGCCAATATACAGCCATATCGCACTGCTTCGAGTGTGATATTGCGTTTATACAGCAGTTTGACGGCATACAGTAATTGTATATAAAAACAAAATCAAACATGGTGAGTCTCAAAAACCCTTTTGTATGTGGAACTACTTTCTTCCGCCTTGGATTTAAATCATAAGCTGACAGTTAAACAGTTGAGCAAGCATCTTTTAAACTTTAGATCTGTAATGTCTGCGTTTTGCTGGTTGTATGTGGGCGGAGTAATACACAAAGGGTAAAGAGGCTTTACGGATGCTGATACTACTTAAATATATATATATATATATATATATATATATATATATATATATATATATATATATATATATATATATATATATATATATAAATATATTTATATGTATGTGTGTGTGTGTGTGTGTGTGTGTGTGTGTGTGTGTGTGTGTGTGTGTGTGTGTGTATCTTTTTACAGCAACCAATAAAACCTTTTTTTCTTCTGAATCAAGCAGGTATGTTAGAGTTTCTATTCTATAAGTGTTCACCAATAAATGTTTAAATGTGAACAATTGACAATATCTCTTAGAATACTTTAGAATACTTCTTAACTGCTCAATTCATTTTATAATAATCCATGTTTTTGTTTTGTTGTGACTTTACTGTGTACTTATGCTTGATTAAATATCCTTATGTAATTACATCTGTAATTAACTTTTGTAATTACATTTGTAAATACAATGTTGACCATCCCTTACACGTTAACCCACCCTTGAACCTACCCATACCACCAAACCTGTTCATAACCCAACCTCTATCCCAACTTAAAAGCACCACAAGTGTTCTCAAATACATCATAAACACAGTAAGTAGATTGTATTTATTTTTTGATGGAAGTACATAGTAGTTAAGGACACTTAATATAAAGTGGGACCCAATATATTATAAACACAGTAAGTACATTGTATTTATTTTTTGATGCAAGTATATAGTAGTTAGGGTCACTTAATACAAAGTGAGAGCCAAATTAATAGTGAATTTGTAACAAAACAAAGGCTATATAATAATAATAATAATAATAATAAGGGTGTTGAGTATATAATAACCAAATTATAATTTTGAGGTAAAAACTTAATTCTGAATTATTTGTTGATCTTTTGTGTTTATGATCTCTCTCTTTCTCTTTACTTTTCCAGAGATTTCTCGCTACACCTGATGTCCATCAAACATTTCTCTTGAGTTCATTTGGCGAAAACTAAAAACAACAGAAAACTGAAATCAACATGGGAGAAACGACTCGACTGCTTCAGAGGGTTGAATGACTGATACAGTTTCTTTTCCACTGTGCTTTGAAAAGTGAAATAATTAAGATAGATGGGCAGATGAATTAGTTGTCTTCCAAGGTCAAACGCTGATTGCCTTATTACTCTATTACTCCACTGTTGTGAAACTGTTACCGCTGACACTTTTTCATGATATTCTTTACATCCACAAAAGAGAAGGAATGAGTGAAAGAGTGAGAGAGATACAAATTGATTGTTTGGCGGCCAAATCAGTCATAGTCATCTTGGGTGGAAGGATTAATGGGTCTGATGGCTGTTGCAGGTTCAGGCAGGGAGACGGGCAGAAAACAAGAGAAATTGGTTTGGGCCCCCGGGAGCTGAATCGATGTGAGTAGCATGTAAGCAGTGCACTGTTGTTTTGTGTGTGTGGAATGAGAGAGAGATATAAGACAGTGACATGTTTGTTTGTTTGTTTTTTTAATAAATGTATTATTCAAAAATGATAGCATGACCACACTAGAATAGCAATATTTTGGATAACCATTGTATAGCTCAGATGACAGTATTTGGAATGTTATGTTGATTAGCAAAAAAATTATTTAATTTTTTAAAATTTAGTTATGATAAGGCACGATAACCTTGTATAAAAATATCACGGTTTCATGGTACACTCTCAGAAATAAAGGTACAAGAGCTGTCACTGGGGTGGTATATATATTTATAGTATATATAGTATATATATATATTTTAAGTACTAATATGTATACCTTTGAGGTATATATTTAAAATACCCTTTAAGTACAAATATGTACCTTTCGAAAATGTACTACCCCAGTGACAGCTTTTGTACTTTTATTTCGGAGAGTGTATAGTGATTACTGCTCTATTATATAATTTTTTAATGTCTGGGTAAAAATAACAACTTTTCCCCCGTTTGAACACAATATATTTTATTTTGAGAAGCATTTAAGATATTTTGGAACAGTAGACATGTCCGGCTCAATAATTCAAATGATTCATTGACCTCTCTTGTCTTCATTAGTTTCGAAAACACTGATTTCTTCAGAATTTAAAACAGCATCTTTGGATATATTTTCTGCTGAAGATACTGTTGTTCTAAAAAAACAACAACAGCAAAAAAATGTAAATAAAAAAAACGGTATAACAAAAAATGTTGGCGGTTTTAAAACCTTGACTTTTCCAAACTGCGGTACACCTTGAAAATGACATTTTAAGTTAAATTTACTGGCCCCTCCTTCTATGTTTATTCCTAAATAAACCACCTAAATATTTTTTTTTCTCTCAAAGAAATTGTTTATTTTACATCTAGTTGCCAAGGAAATATTTGAATTAAAATTAAATCTAAATAACAAAAATAAAAATGATAATTAAGCTGTAAACCCCAACAGTCAACTTTATCAAATGAAATGAGTGTAGTTAACTCAAAATCGACTGAAAGTTAATTATACTCATCTGAAAAGAGTTTTGAACTCAGTGTTAAAGGTAATGAGTTAATTAAATACCTCATTACTTCAGCTTAAATGGAGTAAGTTGACAGTACTTGATTAGTTTTTTAACTCAAATGGTTTGTAGCAATCGGTTTCCTCAAACAGTTTCAGTTGAAAAACTACAAAACTGACAAAATTGTTTTCATTTAATGATTTTTTATTATAAACATTGGAACCTTGTGTTTATAAAAACTTGTTAAAAAGCGTAAATATAAATAAATACTTGAACACACATGCATTCTCCCTATTTTTTAATCTCTTCCCTAAACTGTTAGTTCATATTTTTGTAAATCCAAAATCAAAGAAAAAGTGCTTCAAGGGTGGTTAATGTATCGGTTCTCTTCGGGTGAGAGATTCATAAATATAACCAATGAAATCATAAGTTCAGGGCACTTGAAAAATAAGTGGAAAAATCAAAAAGCTGTTTGCATTGAACCTTTGCATTATGCAAAAAAGTAGGTGATGTTTAATAGA